CAAATCTTTTATTTCGCTGTTGCCTCCGTTTCATTTCTTATTTCCGTTGCAGGGCCGAGACACCCGACACCGACATAGCCGTCGCCGTCGCCATTGGTTTTTTTTTTTCGTTTTTGCATGTATATATTCTGCATTAAATTAACATCAATAAAATGTTGCCTCTGTTCGGACTGGACCTCCCCTTGTGTTCCGGAGGGTGTCCTTCACTGGCTAGAGTCCTTTTGAGTGTCCTTTTTTTTTTCCGAAAAAGTTGTTGCACTTGTGCGTAATTTGAAGCTAATGCCAACATGTGCTGCGATTTGTCCCAGCTCCCACACCACACTCCACACACACACACACACCTTTTTTCTCTCAGCCCATTCTGTCTCTGTCTCTGCCTCTGCTTCTTCTTCTCCTGCTGTCGTCTCTTCCTCTAGCTGTCTCTTTCTCCGCCTTCTGCTGCTGCCTTTTGTCTGCACCTTCGACAGTTTTACAGTCAGTTTCATACTGGTATTATTCATTTCCTTATTCCGCATGACATTTGCATTTGACAGTTTTTGGCACTTTCCTTGAATTTCGCTGAAAGTGAAGATTCTTTTGGCAAAAGTTTCGCGACGGAAAAAGTGTTTCGAGTGGAAGAAAGTGACAGAGAAAGACAGAGAGAGAGAGAGAGAGAGTGCAGAAGGTGTTGAAACTAAATGAAAGGGAGAATGATAAATGGATATTCACGAATCTATGACTCAAGATGTCACCGTTCTCTAACCTCACCTCATGGCAGTGCACACAACTTCTCTCCTCTCATTACATTTCAACTCCCAAAAGTGGAATTTAATCTTCAATCTGCAGCCATTTTTTCTACTCGGTAATCCCCTAAAATTATCGAATCTTCATTCATCTATTCTCTCTCCCGTGATGAAGCACCATGGAACCCACAAATAAAGCTCCATGTATGCCCACAGGCACAACTTATGTACTTGCAAGGATTTTCCGACACTCCCTGCTGGAGGCAAATCCCTCACGATGCCCATTCATGAAGGCTATGATAGATTTCCAGGCGCATTCGGCGCATGTAAACATCGGCTTTTGTTAATCAAATTAAGTGCAAGTTAATGTTGGGGCAAAATCCCCAGACCCACACCCTCGATATATCCCAACTTTTCACCGGAACAAGAATTATTAGATCCCATCAGTGGGTAGCGTGGGTGGTGGCGCTCTCATCTCTCTCTCTTTCTCTTATCCTGCACTTTCGTCTCCGGTCTTGTTTGCCCACTCGAAAAATGATGAATAATAAATTGCTAATCATAAATATTGCGAAATCAGGCGAATGAAAAGAGAGAAATGGCCAAGAGAAGACCGAATGAAAAGCAGGGCAAATGGCTAACAAGAGTTTCCGCCCCCATGGATAGAATTCCGTCCACTTTTTTTTTTACACGCTAAAAAGCAAAACAATACCAAAAGTACACATTGTTAAATTGAAAGGAAACAAATGTTAAATTTATACAGCTGCAGTGCCCTTTCTTTTCGGATTTCTGCTATGGAAAGTACATGGAAAAGCCCCAACTTGAATGCAAAATCAAGGCAGGAGGTCGGAGGTCGGAGGCGGCGAGTGTCTAGCAGTAGTCAGTTTGTTTGCCCCATTATCGAACCCAAATGTTGTTACTGTGGGCGCTGTCGAGTGGGTGGGATTTTCCTTTGTGCAGCACAAAATTATGGGAGAGTGGGGAAGACTTCGCTGAATGCTGGGATATGATTAATTTAGCGTTATTAAATTGATTGGATTATCACCAGGGGAAGGGAAAGTGTAAGAGAACGGGCTGTGATGTCTAGGGAAAATTATACATATATATTAAATGCTGTGCATACGTGTTTCCAAGTATTACAGTTACATTGTGTAACAGTTTCAGAGTATAACAGTTTCAAAGTATAACAGTTTCAATATATAAAAGTTACAACAGTTAACACCTAAATTAATTAAAAGTTATAGTGTATAACACTTTTAGAACATTGAATATCCCAATTTCCTACTTATTTCATAGACTAATTTCTGCTCTTCACTGCTGATATATTTCCTTTCTTTTTGGACTTTGTAAACCTCTGGAATTTGTAAAGAAGTTCCCCCATTCATGTGAATTCATTTCTATAGTAGAAGTTCCTCTTTAACGTAGCCACCGACCCCACATGGGCTTATGACATGTGCCCTCAACGCAGCCGTTAAATCCGGACATTTGTCACTACCATCGAGTCCCGAAATGTTATCCCGACCACAACAGCTCCATCCCCACCACCCTACTCTTTGCATCGAGTAATTAGCGTACCCCCCAAAACGGAAGAAATCAATACAATCTGAGAGCCAGCATCGTCAGCAATCAGGAATCAAAATCAGAGCCAGAGTCAGATTCCGATTGCGAGTTACGTGTCGTGCTGGCCAGGCCCAAATGCCAAGCCAAAAATTGCCCAAAAAGGGCAATCAGTGCCAGTAGAAGGAGTGACCAAATCGAGACCGAAAATCCAGCGCCCGGCGAGCAGCTGCCAAGTTTCTCAGGGGCGGTAAATCGGTGGAACAAAAGTCAAGTGCAGGCCGTCGACTGGTTACAGTTCGTTAGCGGTCACTAAACAGTTAGCAGTCAGCAGTAAACGGTAATTCAGTGGTCCACAACATTTTCGTAGTGCATTTAATTAAATTTCCTGTTCGATGGGAGACAGTCATTGCCTAGTTTTGTGCGGCGCCACAAAAGGATCTGTTGCACTTGCAACCGCAAAATATTGGCTGCTGGTGACAACCGCCCATCCAGCAGGAATCATCCATCCATTCCTCCAGCTCCCAAGAGGGCCACTGCTCTGTGAATAGCGCAAATAACACTAACCTCTCCTACTGCTGTTGCCACAACAACAACAGAACGTAAACCCAAACCATTTGCAGCAGCATCTTGTTGCAAGAAACATCTGGGTGCAGAATCCCAGACAAGACCCAAGCCAACATCCTTATGGAAGTAGAGCAAAGCAGAACGAAGCGAAGATACGCTTGCGACAGAGGGAGAAAATTTTTAAATTTTATGGAAAATTCGTAGATATTTCAGCTTTTTTTCCCCTAGAATTATTAATTTATCCATATCCATATCGATAGGCTTTCCTAGATCAATTCCATGGTACATTTATTGTGCCTTTCGATGGGTTAGGGTATCTGGAGAAACGGCTGCTGGTGGACGGCAAAATGGTTCTGCAAATTGTTGCCGCATTCAGCGGAAATGCAAGCCGAGTTAGCTATATGCTGTTATTGTTGCTGTTGTGTTCGTGTTGTTAGTCTGGTGGCATGCCCCATGAATATTCATGGCGTTTGCCGGGGCAGTCATTCGTTCATTCGTGATTTCACGCAACCAGCCAACGCAGGGGCAAAGTGGCTGCCGCTATATAGGAGAACGAAGAAGCTGCCGCAGCATCGGGGACTAGAACGAAGTTGCACAAAACAATGAAGAGGAATGGCAAAAGACAAAACATGAAACCAAATAAATAAACAAATGTCAAGCAAAAGAGTGGCAGAGGCAAAGGCGGAATCGAAATCGGAATCTGAGGCAAAAGCAAAGGCAAAGGCGGACACGAAAGCCAAGAAATTGGCGTGAAAATAAATCAAGAAATAAATTGGAAAATTTGTTATTTCAACGAGTGAATCAGGGGAAAACCAGCAGGAAAACTCGTAGTAGACAGGCAAATGTTTGTTCATGCATGTTTTACGTCGGAGAACAATCAATGGTTTCGTTTATGAATGAATTGATTGGGTGGGTGTATTGTGGCTGGTCTGTGGTGAGTACGTGCGGTTGCTCCATTCAATTATCGATAGATGAACGTGACAATATCGACTAGGGAGCGGAAATAAATTAATGATCTTGCATATAATTCAAAATAACTATTATTTGTGCTATTGATCCCTTTTTTAACTTTCAATCTGTTTGCTCATATTTAATCGATCAATTCGATTTATTTTTTAATTACTTTTCCTGAACATAATGATACTCCCACATACGACTTTGCTCATGACCATTTTCAGCTTTGGTTGCTTGCCTTCCATCTTCCATCTTCTCTTCTATTACTTCTAAACTGTTCCTATACAATCGATACTTATCAATAAATGCACGATTGCGTTATTCTGTATCCACACTTCTTCTCTCTCTTCTTTATCTGTTGAATTGTGGGTTAAATGCATTTCAATGCCCTCCAGACAGCTTTTTCAACTCTGCCTTTCCTGCAATAACAATTCGTTTGGCCCACAAAGTGAAGGCCAATTAAAATTGCCTTTGGGCGTTCTTCTTTTTCGAATATTAATTAACACAAAAAAGGCAGAAAGTATAAGCATATCCGTGGCAAAGGATTGCCATGGACTTTCGTCGAAATGAGGTCGCCAGCAGGGAAATCTGGCGGCGACCAGCAAGAGGCGGCCAAATACCTTCATTTAATTGTAAAATATTACATTTTAAGCAATATCCATTAAATGCCAGTAGCAGTAGCAACAACAGACTTGCAAGCTTAAGCCACTAGCCACTGCTACTCGATCCACTCAATCTGCACCGCTCTCTACCCCCTACCGTGTTTCGAGTGCATACTCGCATCAACTGCCAAAGGTAATCAACTGCTGGGAAAATGCTGTAAAATGCAAAAAAAGGAAAGCTTTTAATGTTACCCATGTGCACCGGGCGGTGGGCGGACGTATGTCTGGGCGTCTGCAACTGAAGCAAGTTCGCGTCTGGACCTTTGTCCTGGACCCCGGGAAACCCACACGGCAACTACTTTGGGAATGGAGTGGATTCCAGAGCCGACTATAGCGACCCAGACCGTTTACTGCATGACGGGACGGGGACGGGGGGGGGAGTGGTTTCCCGAGGGCCGCTCATTTAAATGCAAATTTAAATGAAATTTTAATCCTGTTTAAGGACGCAGTTGGACACTCTCCGAGGCAAGCCTTTGATGTGCCTCTGCCTGCGGCACCCCGATCGCCATACCCCACCAAACAAACAAAATGCAGATTCCGGGATCAGTCCCCATCGAGAACATGGGGTTTATTCAATCACTCAAATTGACATCATCCAAAAGACCTGCCGCACACTGGATTTCCCTCCAACGCTCAGTGACCGAGGCGACACGCCGTGTCGACTGCTCCTCTTGTGTCTGCGGCAATTCGCTTTTCTTTGGAATCGGTGGTGGCTTGACGGCAGCGTGCTGCATCAGAAAGTAGTCGCAGCGCTTGCAGTACATCTGCTCCCGATTCGATGGCTCGAATGATTTGTCACAGATGGCGCAATTCTTTTCTGGAAGGCGGCAGCGACGGCAACAAAGCTGCCGCGGCGAGAGATCGACCCACAGGAAGCGTTGAAAGCATTTGGTGCACAGATACCACCGGTCGTCGGGTAGATTATCATTATCGATGAGAGTTAAAACGAAGGGATCCATTTCTGCTTTAAAAAAAACTAATCAGAATGCAGACCAAATAGAGAATCAATATAATTTCAACGTAAAATTGTCAGGCAATGACATTTAAGTGGCAGCCCTGTCGATGCAACCCTTAAAAATTAGTTGGGCAACCCTATTTCGGGTAAAGTTTCTTTACTCAAAGCATCGGTTGGCGGTGGGTTATAAATACAGTTATACAAATAAAAATCATCTCTGTCTGAGAACACATCCAATTACCATTTAATCGAAAGCTCTTCAGCCTTTAACAAAGTTATAGTCAGTCGACAATTGTGAATACTGAATGCCTGAATGATGACGATGATGAGGGATTCATCTACATACATATGTAGTAGTGCCAGGCACATTATAGTCCCTGGGTCATCAGGCTCCCTTTCAAGCACTGATTGCATTCTGCTTGCGCTACTGCTGCCGCTGCCGCCATGTCCTGTGTGTGTCACTCAATGGATTTACTCGACTGGAGCATCGGACATTGGGCATAATTTACAGCGCATTAAAAACTCCAATAATGATTTATTGTTGTCCTGGTTGTCCCTGGCGCCTGCTGCCGCACCGCAAAAACATATTTAAAGCGACACATTTATATTTAATGAACAGCAAACTGATGCACGAGGCGGCAACGAGACCTGAGAATTGAACCGCGATGCGAAAAATCAGGGCTTAACCATGTCGCAATGGTCACGCCGGCTGGGCCTCTTCGCTGGCCATATAAGCAGTGTTGGAAAGTGGCTGTTTCGCCATATAGGCCGTTTCGCCCCCCCTTTGACTGGGAATAATTGAGGTTCAGCATGCACTTTCTTTCAGGTTAATCGAAATTAATAATCAATTAATAAATGTTCTTATGCATTCTACAACCAAGAGTTTCCCTTTTATTTCTATAATCTCTCGAAATGTAAGCCCTTTTCCAACACTTAAACTCATTCCCTACCTAAAATTAAATTTTGCAGCGCTGACAAAAGACATGCGAAACCAAATAGCAGACAGTTCGCCATCGCCAGGGGCCACATCGATGATGGGGAGCAACAGCTCAGAAAGCTGGGATGGCAAATATGAATCCACATCCACATTCGACTCGATGCAGACATCTTCGACGGCTTCATTGCAGCCACAGCAGCAGGCAAAGGTACAGGAACCAGGTACAGACATGCCCAAGGGCAGGCTGGGACCTGGTCTGCTCCTATTCCCCGGCACCGCTGAAAGACATCAGCATAATCCGGCCACCAATTGCACGGCCAGAGAGCAGGACGCTATTGGAGGGACAAAAACTATTCCAAATGCTAATGACGACCACGTTGCCATTAATCAGCAGCGACAGCGCAGCATTCGCTGCATTCGACGACCACCACTGTGGCAGCCGCCGCCACCCTTGACCAGGACATCAAAGGAGGGTCCAGAGGAGCGGGAGCAAGTCCCAGAGCAAAGCCCGGACGAAAATCAGGGCTCAAAATTGGGGGCCAAAGTGCATTCATTCATAATCGAGTTCCTGCAGGGCTCCTCCATACATGGCTTCATCTATTTGGCCAAACTCGGTTTGAATTTCGTCGAACGGTGAGTCCAGTTACTATGATTTTAGGGAGAATTAGGTTTCTCAATGGGCAGCTCGTTTGCACAATTGAATGCATGAATGAAAATGGGCAAAAAAATTTCATTCCATGGCCCATCCAATATTCAATGGGAGGATCCTTTGGTGAGTTGAATGTGTAATATAGTTATATCTTTGGAGACGACAAACAGCGAAAGATTTTTAAAGCTGGTGATGCAGGAGGTGCGAAAGACAGCGAGGAGGTTTCTTAAAGTAAAATTCCAGTTTAGAGCTTCAGAACTGTTCCAGATAGCATCCCCTGTCCGCCCACCATCCCACCCTTCTCATTCAACCCTTAACTTACTAATCAAATATTTGGCTAACATTTCCACTCAATTAATTTACAAGTGAAATTACAGTTAAGCCTCATTACGGACCCAAAAACGCGGCCACAAACCGCAAGTAGAACTTTGCCACGGGATTATTTTAGTTCTGGTTTACCGCTAACCCCTTTCATATCCCTTACCGTCCATAAAGTGGAAAACTAAAGCGACACAAAACTATAAGTCGAGGACTTATAAGGGAACTTCCCCGCCCCCAAAGGCAGGGCCACGTGCGGGTTGAAGATTTCGATCTGCCGCAGAACAGAACTCCCCACAAACAGGAGGAGGAGCGGGGCTAAGAGAAGTGCGTGTCAAGGTCCTGTGCCGCGCTCTCTCTCTCCATGGAAATGTCTGCTATATTTTTCTACACATCTTCCGTTTTGTGAGTGTGTGGTTCGGGGGGGAGGAATTTGTATTTTTGTGCGGTGCAATAAATCCTTAAAAACTGACATGACATGACAAACAGGATTACACACAACCAGAGAGAGAGAGAGAGAGTGAGGGAGTGTTGGTCTTGGTCCTGGTCCAGGCCCTCGTCCGGTGGCAAGGCTTAAATTGGCAACACACTCGCAAGTGGCAGAACGGAAGGGCAGCCCGGATGCAGAGAGCGGAGTGGAGCAGAGAGTAACGGAGGTGGGAAATCTGTCAGAACAGCAGGCTGAGGGCTAATTAGTGGATAACAGCCAGGCCAAGCGTCCACTGAAAGAAATTAAAGAACAACTTGAGAGGTGAATTTCCTCCTATAAATATTCCACCTATAAGTATTTTTTTTATATTCAAAAAAACAGAAAGATTACTTTAAAATTTTCACATAAGCGAAATAATTTCGAGGGGAAAATAATTACGAATTATCTGAAATATTGCATTTAAGCGCAAGCGATTCTGTGGGAGTCTACACTGTTTCTTACAGTTTAATCTCCACTTTGTTCCATCTAAATTCAGTTCAATTACAATTATTGTTAGTTTTTTGGACATGATAGCCCTCCCCCAAACACCACTGACAGGTGCAGCCAACCCCCAAAAAGGGGAGCTGCAAAGGTGAAATTCAAGAAGAGGAGGAGGTCACGCAGAAGCTAAGCTTTAATTAACACGCTTTTTTCTCACTCCAACTATCATGCCAATGATTTGTGAGGGCAAAATTTTTCCTGTGAATTTATACCCCAACCGGAATTTGTATTTATTTATTTCCGGCCGTACAAAAATAAAACAGTGGTGAAATATGCTTTGCCATGACAAAAAATCAGCTTGTGACGCACAAATTTCTGGATTATACACGACTCCCAACCCAGGGCTTAAGCCCACCCTGCACTTTGCTTGGCAAACTACCAGATTTCCCACAAAAATATACGAGGTATATCTGATGAAAATAACCCACACAGAAAACAAACTGAAAAGCAAAAAAATAAAAAAAGAAGACAAGTGGAAATGCATAAACCTGAGGGAAAGAGTCTGTGTCGCTGACATGTGATAACCTCAATTTCACAAGCGTTGATATGGCAACTACCTTATATGAGGGCTTTTCCGTCAGGACAGGTGGCTGTAGCTGTGGCTGTGCCTGGGGTGGCAGGAGGTGCATAATCCGGATCCAAAAACTCCAAATGCAAATGCAAAACACGCACAGGATTAGGGTCGTCGTGTCTATGGGAGAGCAGCAGCATCGAGCAGTCGAGTTTCAGACCGAACTCTGTCGAAACTCAAGCGATTTATTTCAGAGAAAAAAAAGGTGCAGTAAAGCCATCAATGAATGGAAAAAAAGTAGATAAGAATGGAAGAATTTGGCAGATTTAAACTACCATTTCAGCATCATCAATGCTGCCCAGCCTTAGTAGGTCTTTTTAGTCATGCTTCTCTTTGATTCTACGAAGGATCTTCGTTTAAGGACTGAGCAAGCACCTGTCTCTCTCCCAATTAAAAGCAGATCTTTTTGATTCAAACTCATAAAAACTTTTATGAAAATATTCAAACATCACAAATTATAGAAAATTCGCAGTTTCTGTTTGCTTTTGGGGAATTCATTGAGGAATCTCGCTTGCCGCATTCTCGACATATGATATCCCACAGCAACAACAAAAATCCAAGTTTAGAAATTTCTGATTCGCATAACTCCGCTAAGGCGTACGCATGAATTCTAAAATCCGAATACTCACAGTCAATGCCGCAAAACAACCCTTCCTGAATGCCATGCCGCATGCAGATGGATTCCCCGTTCTCTACGTCCTCACAAAACGAGTATTACGGCATCAAATATGCATCACTGGGCCTCATTCACGCACAAATTTCATGCATATGAGTGGCGAGATGATGAAACAAAGCAAATAAATTGCACACACCAGACAGACAGTGGAGGAAAATGTCAGTGGGGAAGTGGGAGGGATACGACAATGCGTCTGTCATATATGATGTCCAAAAGGAATTTTGTGGTGTTAGACAAAGTACAGCAACTCAACTGTCACAGAGACGCAAAGACCTTACGAAAAAAAAAACCACATACAAAATAATATAACAAAACAAAAAAAAAAACAAAAATGTTTGGAAAATTAAAAGCCAAGCCAGGAATGACAGTGTGTCTGCGCTTTTGAAAGCTTTATGAGCCATTGCTGGCATCAAACTGTCATTGTGGACGATGTCATACGCCAGAAATGGGAAATTCTCCAAGGATTTTTGGCGACTTGTGTCTCAGTTCACAGTGCTCAAAATGGCAAAGAAAAAGGGTTGGAAAAGCATTGACGCGTTCATTGACTCCTGCTCCGGGCCTGCTTCGCATTTGGCCATAATTCTTTTGACGCGAATATTCCCGCATAATGCTCACAGAAAAGTTTACACGCAATAGATTTTTATGTCCTTTGGGCGAGTGCACACACCCAACAGCAGTGCGAATTATTCCAATGATTGCCATACATCAGTTTTGACTGCTGCTACATTCGGTAGGAAATCCTACAGAATACTTTTCCGCTTGCATAAAATTCCACAAACATTTCATAGAAATAAACGGCAGACTCTGTCTCTGTGACTCCCTTTTGCGATGCTAAGCGATTCCCTCTACTACGAAATATTCAGCAAAAGGCAAGCGCTATCCAATGATATCCATAGTTTGATTCTCCTCTTGTTGCAGAATGATCTGGTTCGCATTCATCTGTGTGGCCCTGTTTAGCATCATCTCCTTGAGCAAGCGGACATGGCAGCGCTTCCAAACCTCCCCGATGGTCATATCCATGGATCGGAACAAGTTGGTGTGGAACACGAGCTTCCCCTCGCTGACCGTGTGCCCCCACAAGCGTATCGATGAGCTCAAAGTGGAGGAGTATATAATGTAAGTGAATCCCTAAATCTTACAACCTTAAAACCGTCGGCAATCGCTTTTTTTTCTCTCTCTCTGATGGGACACAGCTCCCATGGGGAGGACTTTGAGACCGAGGAGGATCAAGAGGATTTCCGTGATTTTATTGTGAAACTTGCGAGCCTCACATACGACAACTTGGAGACGCTGCCACTGAACAAGTCGTTCGGGATTTCGGGTGAAAAGTACTTGGATTTGCTTTATGAATTGAAATGGGCCTTCGAGCCGGAAATCAGCAGCGGCGCCGCCGTCAAAATGTTCATCTATGAGACCCAAACGGAGTTTGGCATTTGCCATGCCGTCAACTCGTTGGTCGCCCGTTACAATTCCTTTGAGTGAGTGGCGGATGGGGCGCTGGGACATATCCGGATATGATTTTATGACTTTGTGCATGCCATATCCATTCGCATTCTTTGCAGCTATTGGCGCTCAAATGATTGGAGTATCTTGGACCATGGGGATCGTGTGACAGTGCATCCGTTGGATGGTGAAATCTACGCTCAGATTATCAACCTATCGACGGCCTACGATGTCTACTTCCATGGAGCTGGGGATGTGCCCAGCATATCCAAGCAGCGCTACACATTCCCAGAGAGCGACTACACCACCGTAGAGTTGATTGCCCTGGAAATCTATACGAATGAGGAGGCCAGAGCGTGAGCTATGCAATTTTCTCTCTCTCTCTCCCTAGAGAACTCTTTAATCCCTGAATCTTTGTGGGACAGTTTCACCACCAAACAGAGGAGCTGTCGCTTTAACTATGAGGCCGAGGACATGCAGTCGGTGCCCATCTATAGCTTTGGTCTCTGCCTCTCCGAATGTCGCATGTTCTTCGCTCTGCGTGCCTGCGGTTGCATTCCCCACTTTTACAGGAACCGCCGTGAGCATAATCATATTCCATTCACCCATTCATCCATCCAGCCTTCTCATCCACATAGTAGTTGCCCCACTTAATTGTCTCCATTAAAGTTAACTTTTATGTGCCGGACGATGCGGCATTAATGCTGCTACTCGTTTTATGGCGCCAAATTTGGTCATAAAATGCTTAAATTCTCGTAGTTTAAGTTGAAACTTCTCGTCATCCCCACCCCACCCCACCGATTATGTATCTGTCTCTCACTCACACATTTTCTCCACTCCATCTCTTCCTTGTACCGTGTCCCGTCTTCCGTCAGTCCGGAATGGACGCCGACTCCCTGTTTGCGGCCTGGAGGGCATCGGCTGTTTGGTCAGAATTAAACGTGAGTAATTTTTAACTCCAACCCCTTGGTACATGCAAATATTTAACCTGCCCGGGAAATTCGATTTAAATTTTTCGATGGAAAAAATATTTTACAGAAATTTCCTAGAACGTGACCATAATTTTATAAAGGCAAAGGTTGGGGTAGCACAGCCTGTTGCTTCAAGGGCATGGGATGACATTCATAGGCGGGAGTCAACATCTTGGACATAGACATGACTTGGGCATCATTAGAAATTTGAATATTGAATAAACAAAAGTAGGAGACTGGTGGATACTTAATCTGTTGGATACTTTGATCTATTGACTGTTTATACAAAATATTTTATATGAGAAAGTAGTTGTAGAGCAGCAATCATAAGGAATGATTTTTTTTTCATTTAACTTTACCCTCCAGGCGAGATAATCTCATTGAAATCGGATAAATACAAAATCAACTGCAATTGTTTGGCCAACTGTGACGACTCCAACTTCTTTGTGCAGTCCCATGTAAGTAGATTTTCCTCCTGCTGAAGCGCCATCGAGCGGTCGTTAAGCCCCCCGCCATACCGCATTTCAAGTGGAAAAATTACAGAATATTTTTGGGAGCATTCTCTTCGCCTTAAACAAACATCACAAAATTGTAGTCCGGGCTATAAAAAATAATAAGCACAAAAGTTGCACGGAACCGGGACGCCTTGAAATATGCAATTATTGTATTTCAGGGTCTTCATGGAAGGAGCAGCGCGATTCGAAGCAAAAAGTTTTTTCCAACTTTTTTCGCGCTCTGTGCAGCGAAAGTTTCGTACATTTAATAATAATTTTTGCTTACTTGCCTTATTATGTTGATGATGTTGTTTTTGTTGTTGTTTTTGTTCTGCTTCTTATTACGCTTAATACTGATACTATCTTTTTTCTCTTTCACACACTTTATATTCCATTCACTTTGGTCCTGTTGTGGATAGCGCTCGCGTGTCTGGTTTTTGGGCGCTAATCTACAGTGGGGCATAATCGATTATCCCAAAATGCAGCTCCGCCGCGATGTACTCTTCTCCTTTGCAGATGTGCTGGGTGAGTATATCGGACTCTAGGAGAACGACTCACTTTTCGCACTTTTTCTTTCCCAGTTTATATTGGCGGCCTGGTGGGTTTCTTTCTGGGCTGCAGCGCTTTGAGCTTCACCGAGATCATATATTACTTCACAGCCCGATTTGTGCGGCGCATGTTCTTCAATTAAATGAATAAAAAATACACGAATTAATTTTTGTTTAATCACTCACCAGAAATATAATAAAACTTTTAACTCACCTTTACACGGACTTGCAAATAAAATTAAATTATAGTCATCCTTTGACGAATCCACTTTTTTATAGGCTACTTCAAACGTGTGTACATCTATATAGGGATGATATGTCAGGGTTAGTATCGATTGCTGATCGTTGGGCAATAAACAAATGATCTGCCTGCCCCCCACATGTGAGGTTATGTGCCGCTGACGTCCTAAAATCACTCCCAACTATTTATTGGCCAAACATAAACACAGACGCGCCTCTAATCAATAATAAAATAAAATTGTTGCAAAGTTGGCAAAAATCATACCATTCGACCGCTCCCTCTGCTCGAGAACTACATAGATGAACCTTCAATTTGTCCATCTCGTGCATCGTCGCTGGCATTTCAATGAATCGTTTACTTTAGCAAGGATGTGTCGGGGAGGGGTCCAGAGTGGGGAAGCGGGTGAAGTCGCTCAGTCATTCAGTCAGACAGACATCTTACGACGACAAATTGCCTTCGCCCCGTTGTTGGCTTTTGTATTTTTGCCAACCTTGTCGATTTCTATTAGGGTCGTGTGTCTGTCTCTCTCCTCCTTTTCTGCATTGAAATGAACTCTTGTCTTGTGCTCCTATGTACAAATACATCTGCGTGTGTGTTTGTGTGCGTTTAATATTTGCTGTTCGTTTATGCCAAATAATTTGTAGCGTTATTTTGCTTCAGCAATTGTTTATTTGTGTGGAAATATGTCTATTCTGCTCACCCGCTCTATTTTCCTCGCTTACTGTATTTATTTTCTGATCGACTACTCGCTGTTCTCACTTTTTCCTTTCCAACTGCTCGCAAGTATAGTTGAACTCTTCACTCATTAGCTGTATGGCTGATCATCTCACATATTTTGCTTATTATACCCTTGGAAAGAGTTGTACTATTTTCACCAAATGTTTCTAACTATGTACTCTGTAAGGTATGCATATATTTATAAATATTTATATGCTTCAGTCGATATCAATTTGTATTAACACGTACATATCAGTCTGGCCTTTTGTCTGGTTAGTTAACCACAATCGGTCTGTAAGAGTATCAAACTATTCGACCCCCTTTCTTGTCTTTGCTTGAATTTTGCTTGTTACACACACACACCTACGCATACATCCGAACATTTACAGTTTCCACAACCGGATGAACTGTAACTGCCAACAAATGAATAAATTCCTCCTGCTCTTCCTATTGTTTGTACTATTTTTCTTATTGTCATGTCATCAATAAATGAGTGGAGAAATAAGTTAGAATTGGTAAAATAACTGGGTCAGTGGCCGGCTCTGTGTAGCAGAATTGTAACGGGGGGAAGCAGAAGAAAAAGGAGAGTGATAGTGAGATAGACTCTAGAATCTGCAAAGCAAGTCCAACAGAGGAGTCAGTGAGAGGAATGTACATGTAGAGAGTTTAATACATACATATGTACACACATGTACATATGTATGCGTACCTCACCCCCGCCACGCAAAACACAATGTTGATTTCAATGGCTTCTCATATTTTTTTTATGCAAAACCACAACCATACCACACAATAAAACCTCAAAGGAATGGACAGCTTCCAGAAGTGTAATCTTTGCACCTTTTCAATAGCAGGGCAGACGAGATGGTGGCTTCAATCCACGTGAGAATTGTCTGCAAACGCCCCCTCACCCACACATGTTGCAATTATGTAGGAATAAAAGGGACTGCGAGGGCACGCTGTCCCGTGCATTGAAGGCACGTGGGTGCGAGGCAAAGGACTTTGATGTTGAAAGAGACCCCAAAGGGGTTGCAGCGATTATTTTATCGCATAAATTTCGGAATTATTGAAATGTATTGTAGAAAAGTTCATTGTTGCAAAAGAAAAAGGATGCGGCCATTGGGGAGCCGGCTATGTGCACGCGCCGAACCTTCATTGTTCGGTAACATTAGAGCAGTATTTTAGTGTATTCGTACGTTAATATCAATAAACGGATAATATATTACCTGTACAATCTTTTTATTATATGCTATTTATCACCTTTTTATTAAATCGGACTATTGCGTGCAAGTTGCACTTTCGCGATCTTTTTAGGAAGCTATGTGCCACAGGTGTGTTTGGTGAGAGCATCGCGGACACACGACCATTGGAGAGCCGACGCACATTCTCCTACAATCTCATAGTCCAGTTTTAATATTTCATATTAATATATTCGCTTGCTAATATCAATAAATAACATCTGTACAATGTATTTTACTATTTTTAAACGTTTTTCTCACTTTTTTGCGATTTTTCCCGCTCTTTACATGCCAGTGATGGCGACATCTGTCGCAATTTCTGGCAGTCATCAGCACTCAGATCTGGTATTTTAATACCGCTTATAGCCTACGCACACTGGACACATCTCGGGGTAACGGTTTTTCATATGTAAAATGACCTACTCCCACTAGCACCATCCAGCATATAAAATACGAAAAATAATACTTAAACATACAAAGTGGTACAAAATAAAATAAACTTAATGATCCATACCATTAATTGGTACACACAAGAGATTCTAGGAAGCCAGAAAGCTAGATCTGGTGCCAGGTGATGGTATTTGTATGGTATATTAATGGTATATTTAATACATTTTTTGGTATATTTCATCAAATTTGTAGTATATTGTGATAATACGCTTTAGGGCAATTTTAGCCTGTTTTCAATGCTGAATCATTGCCCCGCAAAATTTAATTAACTGCACAAAACGGTTTTTATTGCAGTGCCGGTGGAGGTGTGCAGCTTAAAAAACCAATTTCATATTTCTATTCGTAGCAGCCGAAATGCAGAAGGTTCTACTGCTGCTGGCCACTTGCCTGGCCTTGGCCGTGGCCGATTCCAACTCGCGTTTGCTGCGAGTGCCGCTAAATAGATTCCAGTCGGCCCGCAGACATTTCGCCGATGTTGGTACAGAGCTGAAACAATTGCGCATTAGATATGGAGGAGGCGATGTGCCCGAACCCCTGTCCAACTACATGGATGCCCAATACTACGGACCCATATCGATCGGATCTCCGCCGCAAAGCTTCAGGGTGGTCTTCGACACCGGCTCATCGAATCTGTGGGTGCCGTCCAAGAAGTGCCATCTGACCAACATTGCCTGCCTGATGCACAACAAATATGATGCCAGTAAGTCGTCGACCTACGCCAAGAACGGAACCACCTTTGCCATCCAGTACGGCTCGGGCAGTCTTTCCGGCTACCTATCCACCGACACACTATCGATGGGTGGCCTGGACATCAAGGGTCAGACATTTGCTGAGGCACTGAGCGAGCCCGGTCTGGTGTTTGTCGCTGCCAAGTTCGACGGCATTCTCGGACTCGGCTACAGCTCCATCTCTGTGGATGGAGTCAAGCCTCCATTCTACAAAATGTACGAACAGGGCCTGATCTCGTCGCCTGTGTTCTCCTTCTACTTGAATCGAGATCCGGCTAGCCCTGAGGGTGGTGAAATCATTTTCGGTGGCTCCGATCCCAAGCACTACACCGGAGACTTCACCTACTTGCCCGTCACCCGCAAGGCCTACTGGCAAATCAAAATGGACTCGGCCGCCATTGGCGATCTGGAGCTGTGCAAAGGTGGCTGCCAAGTAATTGCCGACACTGGCACCTCTCTCATCGCCGCTCCCATGGCTGAGGCGACCTCGATCAATCAGAAGATTGGTGGCACCCCCATTATTGGTGGCGAGGTAAGCTTTCAACTTGAAGTGCCCAACGGAAATGTATTCTAGTCTGTATTTTGCTTCTAGTATATCGTTTCCTGCGACTTGATCCCCAAACTGCCGGTCATCAAGTTCGTGCTGGGTGGCAAAACCTTTGAGCTGGAGGGCAAGGACTATATTCTCCGTGTGGCCCAAATGGGCAAAACCATTTGTCTGTCTGGTTTCATGGGCATTGACATCCCCCCACCAAATGGACCGCTCTGGATTCTGGGTGATGTCTTCATTGGCAAATACTACACCGAGTTTGACATGGGCAATGACCGTGTGGGCTTTGCAGATGCTAAGTGAACAATTAAATACATTATACTCCAACACTAAAGTGTACTTTATAGCGCCCTCAATTGGGACTTTTCCTCGATTGAAATCGTGAAATAAATATTACCTTATGTATACCATTTCTTTGTTTGCTCCGGAGTTGTTATTGTCGCGACAGGCGATCAACTTTTTGCAATATTATCAGCACAACTTTTTTTCCCTTTGTTGTGATTTGATAAGGCTTGAGAATGGTTTAATATATTATGTATGTACATTGTACAATGTACATATATACGATTTTTCTGTGGTTGATTTTTTTAATTGCATTTGTCATGAAAATTACGGAGGTTGGCACAGCGCATCACGATCCGCTGACTATTAATTAAATCTATATAATATATATTCGTTTACATGTATGCATAATGGGATGTAGAAAGCTTAGGCTGATAAGAAATTTACTGGGACTCAGCAGTACCAACACTCGTCCATACATTTTTCAGTATCTTCTTGCCATCGAGGTGCAGACTGAGTCAACTTCAATATCAATCAGTTCTATAATCGCCCAGTATTAAATAACCATGATATACAGAAATGACTTGAATAATTTTGGTCGAAAGTTGACTGCTATGAAACGATTAAGCTGGCTGCTATGAAACCTCCAGAGCTGTTCACATTTTCAACTGGCAGATCTTTATTTCTGTATAATTAATACATACCAACTGAAAGGGACATTTAATATGGAATTTCTCTCTTTAAGCCTCAGCTAAATTTAATTTTAAATGTTTGCCATTTGCTTCACGTAGATAGATCCGCTCCTGTTTCACCTACATATTTCTAGTTTGTTATCAGATAGGCTTTTGCCTGGGCTACGAGATAGCCTATAGACCTATAGCACGATCTGAAAACAATTGACGCGTGTGAGCTCTGCTCTTCCGGATTAGGCTTAACTCTGACGTCCAACATTCAGCATAAAACTCCATAGAGAGCTTTTTGGCGAACCTCTTAATATGTACATATATAAATACGTTTATATCGCTTTGGAATCGTCAATGAAAGTTCTCATGTGCGGTCATAGTGCCCATGGAGCGTACTTTGTACCCTTGACTGAATCAGCACGAAGCACGAATGGGCCAACGCCGAGAACTCTGTACAGATACTTACACTCGGACATAGTGCCATTATGTAGTGGATTTGTAAACAATGAGTTTATTAGACAATAAAAATAGAATTTGGATAGATAGGGCGTTAGGTGACCGTTTAATACTAGGCAAAGACACTAAACTAGTAGATACAGGGTAGCGTGCTTCTGGGACTTGAACTTGTTATTTCGACTTGACATTGGTCGCCAGATCGTCATCGGACGTCGTTGTGGCGTCCGTTGGCGCCGCCAAATCCTCACTGGAGGCGACGGTCACTATTTCGGGTTGGATCTCAACGGTCTTGGCGGTGCTCAGGCTTGGCTCACGCTCCTCGTCAGACTCTGTCGACTCACGGATTAGCTGGAGCGGGGTGATTAGGTTGCTATCTGGCACCTTGTACATATCACAGGTTTCGTTCACATAGCGGTTGAATACGTCCGGCTTGTCCGCGTACACATGGTGGCCGGCGCCAGTTACGATCTTGATGTCCACCATTTTGTTGCCCCGCTGGGACTTGATCTTCTCGCCCGAGGAGGAGTCGATCCAGGAGCGGGATCCGTATATAAATGTGATGGGTATGTCGCTGCGCACGTCCTTGATGCGGTTGATCATCGGATGCTTGGCCCAGCCAAAGGACTGCATCATGGTGTGGAAGGCCGACTCCCCGCTGGGATTCTGGGCGTTGCACTGATGTATGTACTGGGGCAGCAGGTTGATGTCCTCCTCTATTGTGGTTTGGAACTTGCGCATTATGTCTGGTCGCGTCTTCTGCACCACCCACTGGCCAAAGGGTCCAGCTGCGCGCAGGGCCCACAGCGGATTCAACGGGGTCAGCACTCTGGCTATGGCCCTGACCCACAGGGGAATCTGTTTGGTGTTGTTGGGGTCTGTGGGCTTCTCGGGGAATCCCCATGGGTCGGCCAGCACCAGATGCTTGACGCGCTCTGGATAGCTCAAGGCGTAGCTGGAGGCTATGAAGCCACCCATCGAGTGGCCCAGCAGGATCATGTCGTTGATGTTCATCTCGCGTCGCCACTCCTCGACAGATTTGACGAACTGCTTCTCACACACCAGTGCATCCTTGGCGAAGAGGGGCCGAGAGCTGCGGCCAAAGCCGAGGATGTCCATGGCATAAACTGGTCGTCCTTTGGCAAAGGCATCCAGGTTCATCACCCATAGGGCTATGCCCGCACCTAAGCCATGCAACAGGACCAACGGCACCTCCTTGGACTCTGTGTTCATGCTTATTGTCCATATCTTGTCGGCATCGCCCACAGCCGGGCCAATGTCCACGAAAAATCCACGATACGGCAGCTTCAGATACGAGAGAATCTTCTTTTCGACGGTGCGCAACATGATCGGTGAGCTGGATGTCCAGTTAAATATCCATTTCCATAGCCAAAAACCGTTGTTTTTCGGATCCTGAAAGAGAAACAAAAATCACATTTAAATGTTGGCGAATCGAACAGCAATTTATGTACATAAATATAAATGTCATGCTAACTGAGCGCTGGCCTAGCCCCCTGTCTAGTCCATCCCCCCAGCACAGGCCACGCGTTAGACGAATTACTTAACTAACGAGAGTCAATTGCGCAGTTGGACCGAAATCGATACCCAAGCTCATGGATTTTCCTGTTTTGTTTGGTTTCCGCATTCGCTGCTCCTTACCTCTAGATCCATTCCCGAATTAAATCTCTGCGCGACTGTGGATGTAGCATTTTTGGCGATGTTGGCATCACTTCCCAATGTCAGCTCGCTCATTCTGCTCTTAATTTAGATTTTAGTCACTCTTAAGTTTGTTGCGTCAGCGCGGGGGAAATTGCACAAATTTAGAAAGGGACAAAGCGAAGCAAATGCGCACAAATACTGAAAATTAATATCACTCCTCCACCATATGCGTGTTTTATGTGTGCTACCGCCTAGAGCTCAGAAATTTAAATGTACTGACATGAAAGTAAAATCTAGTTGTACCCTTTCCTCGCCAGCTGTTTGTCGAGTTGTGATGACTTTGAACTTCTGTTTGGCTGGACTGTAATGCCTCGGTCTAATGGGTTCTTATCAATTATAATGGTGAAATAGATTTGTTGTGATTCAGTGCTTGTAGGGGCAGGGGCGACATTAACAAAACAAAAAACCAAAAACAATTGCAGCTCTGGTCACACAACCAGCTGGAAGATTGTCAGCTGTTTAAGCCATCGTTTGCCAGCACTGCATTTAAACACAGTTTATCGGAACATACATTTACAATTACTTTTTTTGCCGCCATGGAGGATATTTACTGGAAAATAAATTTAAAATATGCATGTACAAAAAATATATGATTTATATGGCAGGTGGCAGCAAATAAACAACAAATGCGGCTCCGGTGACACAACAGCATACCAGTGCTGGTAACCGTGAACATGCTCGCCTGTAGCCGAATAACAACAAATTTTGATAACATAACTGCCTTTTGTCGATCGAATCCGATCGATTTAAAAAACTGGTTATCACAAAACCGCGTAGACCAAACTTAGCCATATGGATCAACAACTGGAAGGATAACCTTTTTCCAGAAGAGTTGTGAGGAAGAAGCAGAAACCCTTATACTACGGTCACTCTAAACGGGACTCTGATTCACATTCATATCTAATCGCACGCGGCGGCATGGATGGCATTAATAAATACAATGAATTTGTGGCTCTCCACAAGTCCCAATTGGACTCTTTGTCTGTGCCAGTGCACCTTTGGCCAGCGCTCTATCGGAAGTTGACCACAGAAACCTTTGATGCCGGCGAGGCTCTGCAACTGATGTTGATTGACTACGATGAGGATGTGGACGAAGAGCCGGCCGACGATGACGAGAGCACCAACCCAGTATTCGCCTTGGGAGTGGCCCGTGAACAGGGAATTAAAGCCAGCGATCCCCTTGCCGTCTACTTGATAGACCATTGTTGGACCTTTCGGCTGAACAACGCCCGCCAGACACTGGAGCAGAACCCCCCACTGGCAGATCGATTGTCTGCCATGACCGGCGTGGACCTGGAGCACGAGCAACGCGTTGACAAGATACTAAAACGTCTGTGGAGGTACTGTCATGCTTATTCCATTCTCCAGGGGGATAACTCCGATGAGGAACGCATACCCATTTGGTATGTGATGGACGAAATAGGATCGGCCGTGAACCACTCAGATGATCCGAATTTCCGCATTGTGCCATTGCTCTACCTAGATACCCACACCACGTATAGTATTATGTTTCCAATCAAAGATTGCGAGCAAAATGATCTATTGACGCGCGATGTGATCGAGTATGTGGCCAAGGATGCGCCACAAAGAGCTGCCCTGCTGTTGCCCTGGCGCGACGACAATCTAACTGGCGAGAGCTTCTTGCAGGTGGAGCCCAGTGCTGACTACTTTACCAGCGGACACATACCAGAAACGTATCCGAAGAGAAACACCAATCCCTTGCCAGCACCGAATCGTTGCGACTCGTTAAAGGTTTATGCCGAATACGAAGTGGTCCGGCAGCATTTGACAGATGAAAAGTTCGTCTTGGTCAACGATGAAGACGAAGCCGATGTGTTGTGGCTGACCCGTCACTTCAAAGCATTTGAGGAATTCTCCGAGCAGACGCCCAGCAAGTTTGTCAATCAGTTTCCCTTTGAATACGTGATTACCATCAAAGATTTGCTCAGCATTGTGGGTCGTCGGGCAGCCAAAGAGCATCACGATGGAGTCAGCCTGGAGACATATCCCGCCTGGCTGCCCACCACCTACAATCTGTCGACAGAGCTGACTGAATTTGTCGCTTATTACCAGTCGAGGGCAGTCAAAGGTCTGGACAACCATTGGATCATCAAGCCCTGGAACCTGGCTCGCGGTCTGGACACTTACATAACCGACAATATAAAGCAAATTGTGCGTCTGCCCACCACTGGCCCCAAGATTGCCCAGAAGTACATCGAGAGACCCGTTCTGTTTCGTCGCACAGAGCTGGATTGTCGGGTGAAGTTCGATATTCGGTATGTGATACTGCTGAAGAGCGTTCAGCCGCTGGAGGCCTATGTTCATCGGAAGTTCTTCTTGCGCTTTGCCAATCATCCCTTCTCGCTGGACCACTTCGACGACTACGAGAAGCACTACACGGTGATGAACTACCAAGACGAGGCGGAATTGCATCATGTCAAATGCGATGACTTCCTGGCTCTCTGGCAGGAGCAGTATCCCGGCAATGATTGGACGGCCATCGAGCAGCAAATCTGTGATATGCTGCTGGAGGTTTTGCAGTGTGCTTGCCAGGAGCCACCACCCTGCGGACTGGCTCCCTGCCGCCAGTCCCGGGCACTCTATGCCGCCGACATCATGCTGCGATGGTTGGACGAGGAGAAGAAAGTCATGCAGCCGCAGCTGTTGGAAATCAATTGGACACCCGACTGCAAGCGAGCCTGCGACTACTATCCAAACTTCTTCAATGACATTTTCAAGTTGCTTTTCCTGGACGAGAACAATGACGAGATCTTTAGACTGTTGACGCCACTCAACTAATATATCGCTTATACGTGTATTTCATTTCATTTAAACTATACAAAAACTTAATTAATTTGCATTTTGTACAATATACAAATAGGTGTATGCTTCTATGCGTTGGATCGGGATGATAACTAAATATGGTTATGGTTATGCTTATGCTTAGGGCGTAATCTAGGACAGACAGCAAGTCAGTAGTCAGTGGGTGGTGTGTCTATATAACTTATGGTCTATCATAGCTTGGATAAGGTAGGACAAATTCAAGTGTGAACAAAGTCTGTCTCTGCCTCTGTCTGTGTGAAGTTCAAAGAGTGAGAGGGGCTTAATGCTAAAATGTTTTACAATTCTCAATTGCAAATGGCACTTGATGAACGATGTAGTAAATGTTGTAAAAGTTATTCCCATGAATATACAATTGTAAGGCAATTTATAAGGCACCCAAGAAGTCAAAGGGAAATCAAAAATGAAATAAATACGTTCCAATGCGTACCAAGAAGGTTCATTCGTAGAAGAGCATAAGAAATGAAATCCATTCTTCGTTCATTCGTCTTGGCTTAACTCTGAATAATACAATTACCAGCTAATAGTGTGTGAAAATGCAAAGGGGAAAACCTCAATGAAATGAATGAATCTTACACTAGTCCGCTAACATCTAAGTGAATGCAACTAATGTATCGCTTAGACAACTAACTATCGACTACAACCAGACCAGAGCTAAACGCAGGCCTCGTCAAAGTCCAAGCGTATCTTCTCATCTGCGGAAGCTAGCTTATGTATAGTCTTTTTGATGCGCAGGGCTGGCAGACGAACATTTGGATTCTGGTGCCAGCACTCCTTCATTAGCTTGGACATGCCGGCCAGCAGCTGCAAAACAAAACGGATTAGACTTTTAATTCAGACAATTGGAAAGATTAACATACAGGATCTGAGCTCCAGCGATTGGGAATGGAGGGTCTGTAGTTGTCAGTGCAGACCACTTTGCGCATATCCTCAAAGCTGGGATCCATGGGCACCACATCATAGAAGGGCACTTTGTATTCCTCAGCAATGCCGCACGAAATGGTGCGGCGACAAACCTCCCACAGGACCAAACCAAAGGCGTAAATATCCGTTCGGCGCAAGGCCTCAAAGCACTCCATGTCGATGCTCTCATCCAGAACCTCGGGTGCCATATAGCGCTTTGTGCCGACCTTCGGATTGTGGCCAAAGTCCAGCTGTCCCGTGACATGCGAGTGGGTGACAGCCAGGCCAAAGTCGGCAATCACACAGGTCCCATTCGAAGTGACCAATATGTTCTTGGACTTCAGGTCTCTGTGGGCCATGGCTGGCTTTCCCTCAGTGCCGAAGATTTCTGTGTGTAGGTGCACCAAGCCGTTGGCTATCGACAGGCAGATCCAAATCATATCGTTGTGACTTAGGGCATTGCGGTTCAGGTGATCGAACAGCGATCCCAGCGGGTAATAGTGTGTCATCAGCCAGAGCTGGGTGCATGAGTTCCGCGACGTCATATCGGAGCCAATGAAGCCGAGTATGTTCTCGTGGCGCAGCAAAACAGTGCTGCAAGAAAGCAAGACCAGCGATTAGCTATTACTTGAAAATTCTAGCACCAAGTGGCCTGTTCTCACCTGTAGATTTCCGTTTCCCGCTTCCAGGACTCCTCGTCACGACTGAAGAATATTTTGACTGCTATGCTCTCGCCATGCCAATGACCGCGCCACACCTCGCCGTATTTTCCCCGCCCGATGCACTCGATTAGGGTCACCTGCTTGGCCAGGGTGCGCTGCACCAGCAAGGGCAGCCCACTGCCCGATCCGGACGTCACCGAATGCTGCAGGTATTCACGCAGGGTGCTGTCCCCGGCGCTGGTGGCGCGCAACAGCTCATCATTTACCAAATACGACTCGGGATCCTGCTTGGTGCGCGAGGCAGCCAACCGCTTGCGGTGGCTCCGCCGTATATAATAAATGGCCACAGCGCCCAACAATGTTATGACCAGAAAGGGTCCCAGAATGGCGGCGGACATCTTGCTGATGTTGCTGGTGTCCGCTGTTATGACTGTCACATCGCCGCTGACGATCGGCGGCAGCTCAGGGAAATCTCCGCTGTTGCAGAAGTCCCCGGTGCAGCAGGCAACGTTATACTTGGCAGCGTTCCGCTTGGTCGGTCCGTTAAGCTTGTTCAGAGAATTCTGGTTGCAGATCAGGGGCAATTGTTCCGGTGAGGTTGTGCAGCCCCGCCTCACGTTCTCCTGGCCATCGGCATCCCGTGTGCGCGACTTCCAGCACTGAAGAAAATATAAAAAGACCGTCGTCAATGGCATGGACTCGTGGCTTCAATAACAGCTCTCACCTGAATGGCATTCTGGCATGTGTGTGACAGCTCTAAGGGATCGAGACATGGCGGATCGCACGAGTAGCACTTGTATCTGTTTATAGACAAATGGTAATTAACGAAGTGCGAAAAAGTAGGTAAAAAAATATTGCGAGTATGATTTCAAGCTACAGATAATCCCTCAAGCGTGGATTTTACCTTCTTTTCATGCGTCGCTTACTCTTAATGTGTCTCCTATTCAGAGACAAGCAGCGTGAGAAATGGGATTAGATTAAAATGGATTAGCAATAGGAATTTCTAGCCGGGATGCCAATGATGAATATAATAACCAATGAATGCCAATCTTAATTAAATATGTATTTGTTTATGAAAGTCACCTGGGATGCGTTTGCACCGAGTTCTGTGGCACGGCTGGAAACTCCTTTCCATTCATATGAGCGGGCAGTTCCATGTCTATTTCCTGATTCTCTTCCAGCAGGCGCTCACTGATTTCAGCTGCAAGACAACAGGAAGACGTTACACATACACGGAAACATTCTCTCTATCTCTCTCTTTCGCGTACACACACCACACACAAAGTTCTGTATACGCACGGCGCATCTGTGTGAGTTCGTGCGGGTGTGTGCGCGAGTAAATCATTAAGAAAATGCACTTTTATGCTTCGTACGCCCACGAAAGCATACAATCCCGTTTATATAATGCCATTTCCCAGGCAGAGTATGTTAAGTTTTCGCTCATTTGAATGCAACCAACATATTTTCAGCTCCCGCTTAGACATATACGCAGCACAATCGGTCGGAACAGTAGCATATGAAAACAAATCAGGGCTGTCCAAAAACACACAATAGCCATAGCCGTAGGCACTTTTTCAAACACTTTGTAGGAGCTGCTGAAACGCCCGTATGGGCGGTCTGTGATATGCTCCTGATAGCTGATACATCCAGCTAATACGCGAGACCGAATTCAACGTACCTCGTGCATTTTTGCATATCAAAACCGACAATAGAAAAATTAAAAATAAATTGGACTCCATTGCTCCATTCCGTTTTTGGGGTGGTGTGACCAAAGGATCTCAAGGTTCCATGGTAAAGATTTTTTGATGCCAAAATTGAGCAAACAGTATTTTATTTTATCATGGTATAAACTGGTATTTTTGAACAACTTCCTGGTATATAATGGTATATACCATATATATATACCTTTTCGAGGTGAAGAGATCGCTTTTTCTGGTGTGATCCGCATGTATCTTACGTATGAAGACTCATTGTTGCTTCATTCCGTTTTTTGGGTGGTGTGACCAATGCTGGTTTTGATTAAATTTACCTCCGAGAATATGATGCATTGGAAACTGGCAATTTTCTGATCATTTCATACCGACTCACCAATAATTTAGTTTTATTATTTGATTCAAAATATACCAAATCTACCAGAAATTCCGTTGGCCAAATATACCAAACAGGGATTTTTTAGCGCCAAAACAGAATACCAAATAAATACTGCATTCAAAAATATCCCAATTTTCCATGGGAAACACACACACACACCACGTGAGCCGGGTCCAGCCGAAACGAAATAGTTTCTAGAACGTCAGACAAACTATTAAAAAAAGTGATTTGAACGTAGCAAAATTGAGTTTAATTTTGATAAACTAAACACAGATTGAATTAATTGTGAGGTAAGTTCTGTTTCCTATTCAAGATGTTGTCCAATTTGAGAAAGACTCTAAAGTAGGCCTGCAATGGTCGATGCAGATTTGTTGTTGCACATTCAATACATGGGAAGGCCTGGAACCTACATATGTTTGTAGGGATATGTATGTACATATATTCAGGACTGTCGATGGCTGTTTACATACATATGATTTCTTCGCCGACCAGTATAGGCGCTCCTTCAATATCAAGTTTAGTCCGACCGGTTTCACATTAGAGAAAATCAATTAGTTTTACTGTTTATCGATCAAACAGAGTTTTCATTTCTCCCCACTCCACTCCGAACATGTGTTTGGTCACGTAACTGTTATAATTTTCCTAGGTTTCCTCGGGGGCAGGAAAGATACACACGAACATGTGTAATTGTGTATGTGAGAAGATTCTCCAATTTCCTTAGCTCCCTTCCAGACTCGTGTTTGTATATGGATACATGTTACATTATTATCATTGGTACATATATGTACGTATCTACGGGTGTGGGTGCATTTTTAGTATGGCTGCGCAACAAATCACACTATGTATATGGGATACATAAAGAACCTCGCTAACAGCAAAGGCAAATACAAACAATTGGGGGCAAGTGGTTTTTTCGCTTATCAAGAGCAGAGCCCCTCTCTGCGCAGCTCCTCCACGCTGATATTCTCTCTGTGCCGACCGACCCCAACAGCCGGCATTTCGTGTAGCTCACGTCTCATTCCTAAATTCTCGCTCGCCGCGCAAGCACCGTAATAAACACAAACACAAGTGAGCGAGTAGGGGTGCAGAGGGAGAGGGATTTAAGAATTGAAACTACGCAGTTTGTTTATTTATTGCTTAGCAAATAAAATACGCGTGGACCAGCACGCTGCTTACATAATTCGATTCTGCGTTTCGCCGCCGACTACCACTACCACTACTGTAAAAGTTACCAATACACAGTAGGGCCGGCAAATTTTGGCAAACGACCTTACTGCGTCATTAAATTAAAATTTCTATGATTAACTTTAGCTGCTGATTAGAATTTCGTGATACCTATATTTATATGGGTGAGATTTAATTTTCTTAAAAGGGGGGCAAGTTAAGACCTAGGACAATTGTAGGTGAAAATCTTAAAAGCCTGAAATACATACATATGTACCGCTAGTTTCCGTTATCACTATGGAAAGTTTGCACTGCCTTCCAACACTTCCACTGGCATTGCATCAGCCGTTCTTAATTGATTTCGTTCCCCGTATTCTCTTTCCAGAAGCACAGCTTGACTTGACGCTCTTTTAAACGCATTTTCAACGGAAAAACAAAGTGTTCAAGTGTTTTAAGTAATACTATATCCTAAAAAATACAGCCCCACCCCCAAAATCAAATTTTATAAAATCCCCAGAAATTAATATTTGTGTAAAAAATAATCAAGTGCAAGTGAGAAGGGAGCGATCATAGATCCAAGAGAGCCGTTGTGTAGTGATTGTCAGACCAGAGCGCTATGGCGACTGCCGCCGGCTCACGTAATAAACACTCAAAGCGCCATAATGAAGAGCGTGCCGACATAACCAAGGACGAGTTCGAGGCCATTCGCGAGGCGCTCAGCAAGGAGGAGTTCCGCAAACTGTTCTTCGAATATGTCGAGGAGATTCAGGACCCGGAGAACCGCAAGATCTACGAACAGGAGATCACCCAGCTGGAAAAGGAGCGGGGCGTTGATGTTAAATTCGTACACCCCAAGCCGGGATTTGTCGTGAAGACGTCCATTGACGGTGAGTTGAAATGCTTCATCAACATTGCCAGTTCGCCGGAGGTCGCCCGGCCCAACAGCGTGGCGGACACGAATCCGGAGACGGGAAGTCGTGGCCTAAGCTGGTCCATACCCATGGCGCAGACGGCGGGACGGGACGATTGCGATGCAAAGAACAACCACTGCAAGGTCTTTGATGTGGTCTTCCATCCGGATGCCCTGCATCTGGCCACTCGCGACTCGCAGTTTCGAAAAGCTTTGATCGACACAGCGCTGGACGCAGTGGAGCGCGAGTACGAGGTCGCCCTAGACCGTGCCAATCTGAAGTATCCCAAGCTGGACTACAAGGGCATAGCCCGACCAACTGTGATACGCAAGCTGGCCACCGATCCCACACCGGAGGAGCAGGAACCGCATCCCCTCGAGCATATGTACCCCACGAAGCCACCCGCCTCCAATTCAGAGCCCAAAATTCTACCCATGAAAACCAAGACGACACCTGTGCCAGAGTTCACTGTGCCCAAGTATTCCATCATGCAGAGCCACGACGTGGACCTGTCCGAGTACACCGATGAGCTCGATGCCAAGCTGCATGTGACTATGCCGCGCTCCCTTGTCGTGGAGATTGAGCTGCCCCTGCTCCGATCCACTGCCGACTGCCAGCTGGATGTCACCGCCAAGTCCGTCTACCTGTTGAGCGAACGACTGGGGGCCAAGTATCGTCTCAAGGTGGATCTGCCCTTTACTGTTGACGACAAGGCTGGCAATGCCCGTTTCGATACGGATAAGCGTCGCCTCAGCATAACCCTGCCCGTGGTGCGCAAGAGTGTTAACCAGCAGCGCCAGATGCACGACACTCTGCGCTACCTCAGCCGCGAGGACAGCGGAGTGGAGCTGCATTCCAACAGTGAGTCCCCCGTGGAGGAGGATGAAGGGGCCGATGGGGACATGCCGGATACCCTCGAAATAGGTAGGTTAAACGCTCGAGCAGCTCTCATCCCCAATCTCATCTCCAATCATTCACAGCAACCGCCACGGCCCCTGATCCGCCTGCCCTGGCACAGAGTGCGTTCTTAAACGATTCCGTGCATTATCAACTGCCCAAATTCGTCTGCAATGTGCTGGACAATGCCATGGCCTTTGTTTTGGACGTGCCCCACGTCCAGCCGGATTCCATCGTGACATTGAAGACGCAGCGGAGCGTATCCTTGAAGTTTGCCACCATCGGCAGTGGTTACTATCCCACACACTATGGCTTCTACATGGAGCTGCCGTCCCCGGATATGGAGGAGTACGTGGAGGATCACTGTATCGAAAGCATCGAAGCGGAGGCCTGGGACAACAATGTGATAATGAAGCTGTTCCTGGGTGCCGAGAGCGAGGCCCCACCGAGCTATCTGGCCGGTCTGCATGCCAACGATCTCAAAGAGTATCAGGTCTATGGGCACTACAAGCCAAAGACCGATCAAAATAATGAGTGCGAGCCCAATCCTCCCATGGACATTCAGATAATGCGCACGGATGATGCCGTGGTGATCACCGTACGCCCACCACAGGGCATCAACACCACGGAGGAGGATGAGGAGCAGCAGCAGCATAAAAAGCCAAGCAAAAAACAACGCAAGCGAAACAAGAAGCAGCGCTCCTACTCGGAGTCCGCATGTGAGGACATGCTCGTCCAGCAGAACGATCCGCTTGGTGGCAAGAAGGATGCCACCACACCCATTATGCCGCAGCGCAAGCAGCGCAGCTACTCTGAGTGCAACGATAGCACCATTGGCAGCGGGAATGCCAATAGGGGTATTCTCAAGCGGTTCAGTCGCTACGGTCCGAGGCCTTCAATGTCGGACAGCTGTTCCTCCATCGATGATTGTGGCTTCTCCTCCCACTCGTGTTCTGTGGATGCCTCGGGCTCTCTGTTCTCGCAATCCTTCAGTGGCATTCCCGAGGAGGATCAGGCCGAGGCTGGCCTATCGGAGAGCTGCAAGAAGACTGTTAGATTTAATGACCAAATCATGAAGCAAGTGTTCAGGTGAGTTCTAACAATAAACAACTATGTATAATAATTTGCAATAATTTATGTGTGTTTTTTTCCACAGACACGACTCCAGCATTCTCGGTCAGCGCAAGAAGAACCAGAAGCGTCGCAATTGCAAATTGCGTGCCGAGCAGCGTCGCCTCAGCGAGGGCGATTCGGCTGATTACGAGGAGACCCGTGGCACTGCCCTCAAGGTAAGATCAACGCAGATTGGACTGATCCGATCTCGTTAATTAGAGCTTGTTACGGCTGTTAATTCAATTAGTGTCCATCAGCGAAATGTCGTTGTTTGTCCAGACGCCAAATATTTATTCAACTCGATTTGTGGATTTAAATGGATCCAAAGTTCAAACGGATTTCTCACTCCAATTTCATCTGCCCAAACTAATTATTGTCTTTCTTTTTTTTGTTAACCAGCAGCAAGGGGAACCATCATCATGCAACGGTAGCAACAAACTGCACGATAGCGGACTGGATCTGACTGGATCTGCAGCTGCCACCCACCGCAACGACAGCAACTCAAAATCCTATCGCACTCGCCAGGAGGAAGTCGATGCTGATGCCAAGAATGATTCCATGATGTTTGAAATGGATGATGAAGACGATGATGAGATGTAAAGAAAGAGACGAAAGAGGCGTATTTTTTTGTAGTTCTTAAGATACAGAAAATATTTTATTTTCAATTTAATATTTATTATTGTAATTTGTTGGATGCTTCTGCCCAAACTGCTCAAAATCAGAAATCCAAAAATAACGAAAATACCTTAAATCATACACAAATTGTTATAAATTTGGTTAACTATTGAAATGAAATTGTTTAATTGTAGCATTAAATCATAATCAAAAGTGAAACACACACAGTTGAATAATTATTAACATTTATTATACCTATTACATGCACATATTCATGGCCTAGAAGGAACGATGGAGTGAACTCGTTTAAAAAATTATCTTTCTTTGATTTCTGCAGCAGATTGAGGCATTATTTAATCACATTAAATACATACATACTATTTCAACATTCATTCAAGAACAGAACACACAACAAAACAATCATAAAATTATGCTTAAATATCAATAGTTAACAAATTCCTCTAGTATTATAAACACACACAAGAGCAACAAGACCCCCCACAAGTAGTGTCTAAGCCATTTTAAATGTGTAGGAAAACTGGCTAAAAAAGAATTAATGTAATTTTAACTTTTTTATGCGTGCAAAAAGTTACAAAATATACGAATATACATGTATGTGACGGATCGTAAGATTATTCTCAGTGTATTTTGGTCAATTAAATGTGCATGAAGAACTGACTACGAAATTGTGAGCTGGCTGCTTTCTGTGTAGGTTCGTTATTCGTTAGAATAGGAAATCTCTATTCTATTGCTGTGCCCCTGTTGTTTGAGACTCGCTGAGAAATGATCGTAGTAGCGACAGTTATATCCTCACAGGCGAACAAGAAAGAGAGCCAGTGAAAGGTAAACCACACCATCAAATATATGTACAAGCAACCCGATAATTGCGTGGCTTTGATGAAATGTCTGATAAAATCCGTGAAATTCCGACAATTAATAATAAAACACGACGACATATAAATTTCTCAGAAATTCTCCTCGAGCAGCCTGCGAATGTGTCCAATCTGCTGGACATCGCGTCGCTTTACCTCCAGCACATAGCGCACGGGGCAGTCGAGGGAGTCGCACTGTAGGTTGCCCGCACGCCCGCAGCAGGACTGGCAGATCTGCTGCGTCAGCTGGTAGCCACGCTCCAGGCGAGCCACCTTGTCGGACAGCGTGACAACGCATTTGGTGGCGTTCCTCAGGCATTCGGGACAAATGCCGGCCTTGGTCTGGCGGCCGCAATCGATCACACAGCTGGTGGTGGAGAAATACTGGGAGATGGTGGACTTGGCGCCCCGACCGCTGGCCAACTCATTGGCCGTGGCCAGGGCGGGCATCATGAGGAGCTTGCGCGGCAGGCTGGTGAACCAATCGTTGACATCGGCTCCCACCAGCAGCAGGCAGCGGTTCAGGGGCGGAATAATGGCCTTAGTGATGTAATAGATGGCATTGATCTTGTGTCCCTCGTTGGCCAGAATTTCATGGGGACTACGCACAAGTCTGATGAGCTGCACGCCCGGCGGCCCGTTGATAATGATGAAGGGTACGCGCTCGCCGCGTCGCGGTATGCGCCTGGGATCCTTCTGCATCCACTTTCTGTTTAAGGGATTTGTTGAGGAGATTGTTTCATGTAGGAATAAAAGCAGCAGCTTCTACTCACCGCGTTAGCTGCAGGGCGGGCACACAGGCCGTGGGCTTGTAGCCATTGAGTCCGCGGAACTCTTTGGCAAAGATGAGGTCCTGCAGGTTGGCCCGTCCGGAGAGCAGTTTGGTGAACTGCCGGCAGACGTACTGCTTCACCTGGCTAACGTCCGCCGTCTCGAAGAGCAGGCGGAGCACCTTCTCCAGCATCTTGGCCACTGCCGGACAGCCATCTCTACGCACCGTCTCAATGCCCTTGGCCTCGTAGACGGGCTGCGCCTGATCGGCCGTCTCGTACATGTAGCCGACATAGCGCTTCTTGGTCTGGAGCAGGCAGGGCTGGTAGACCTTCTCCAGCTTCAGCTTCACTGGCTGGGGACTCATCTCGGTGACGGCATGGGCTATCTCCTCGCCTATCCGGAATGCCTCTGCCCGATTGCGGCCTGGCACCAGGACAAACATCGAATCCGTGTCGCCGTACACAACGCGCACCTTCCACTCCTCGTTGCCCTCCACCAGCTTAATGGCCCGCTCCAGAGTCTCGCGGCCCTTGGAAACGACTGAGTCGCCCACCTCCACGGCCGGCATGCGGCCGCTAAAGTTGGCCGCCGTGTAGCCGTAGGTTACATTGGCCATCAGCTTCAGACCCAGCTGACGGGAGTGCAGAATCCGCTGGAGGGCAGAGTTATCCTTGTGAAGCTTCATCGACTGCTTGACCATCAGGCGTGTGTCCAGGATCTCGGTTAGCATGCGCGGCAGGATGCCCTCCCTCACCTCACGCTTCACAAACACCACGCCGCAAGGCGACACCGTGACCAGATCGTGCTCCAGCAGTTTCTGCAGCATATGGCGGGACACGCGTAGCTGGGAGGCGCCAAACTCGAAGGGCGAGCTGCCACCTAGATGCTCCACCCGGCCCAGGCAGGTGGAGAAGCAATAGTTGTAGGCAATAATCATGCTGGGGTAGAGACTCTGAAAGTCGAGCACAATCAGCGGATCAGCGTAGAAGCGGGACTGCGGCTCCAGGATCAGCGCCAGATACTCGGGCGCCCGCATGTGCGCCCGCTGCTGGACGCTGGGCGAGAGCGGCACCACGTTCTTGGGCTTGGCAATTCTGAAAAAAAGGCGATTGGAAGATTACCAAAGAACACTAAACTCGGCGTTGACTCACCTGAGCATCATGCTCTCGACCCGAAACTGGGATCCTCGCGACAGAACCTCGTAGAACTGGATGCCAATGAGCTTGGCCATTTCGCTGGTGCGTCCCAGCAGATCCAACTGATCGAGCAGCGCCAGAGTACCTCTGACACGCTCCAGATGGTACTCCAGCACGATCCAGCGGGTGCAGGGCGAGGCGAACCACTCGGTGAGCGTCTTGGGGCTGTGCCAGGGACAGCGCTTGTGCAGGATGTGGTACATTACGTTCTCGAAGGTGTACGAGGTGAGGGCAATCTCGGAGCGCATCAGTCGCCACACGTCTAGCAGTATGCGGCCGCAGAGCTTCATCTCCACATCCAGGTCGGTGAACTGCTCCCGATCCTCGTCGACAAAGTCGCGCACCTTCTGCGTGGGCACGCGCGACAGCAGGGGGGCTATGTTGAAGCACAGATGCTTTGCCCGATCGATCACATAGCCCCAGGAGGCCATCTCGATCTCGTAGCCGGCATAGATGTCGGCGTCCCAGCGGGCGCACAGTGCCAACAGAGCCTCCATGGCCTCTGCCTCATTGGATACCACCTGAACATCAATGTCCTTGTCCAGGCCGTGTATCAGTCCCTCGCTGAGCAGATCCTGGGCATGGTTAACCATAATGTAGCCACAGGACTTGCTGGGCAGCGAACCCTCCGCATCCGCATCCGGCAGGCTGTGCTCGATGGCATAGAACAGGCAGCGGATCTCGTCGTGCATCGGATCGGGTTGCAGCTCCCCGCGCGTCAGCACAAACACCTCCAGCGTCATTATGGTCAAATAGTTGCACTCAATGTCCGCCTTGGCTTGTTGCAGGTTCTCCAGATTCACCTTGAAGCCAAACGTGTTGTCCAGCGTGGCATGGCTCAAGCCGAAGCTGAGCTCGTGGTGCCCCTCCTGGTGGGGACCGTCCAGCTGCCGCAGGAAGCAGGTACGATCCAGTTCCGCCTGTGCGGCACTGCTTGACACGCTGCTCTGGTCGCTGCTCTGACTGCTGCCTCCAGCGACCTGCTGGGGCTCCCCTGTTTCGTCCAAGGATGCCTTAAAGTTGAGTTTGGTTCGGCGTGTGGAACGCGAGGCCTTCTGGCCCTTACTGCTTATGGGCGTTGCTTTTGCGTTTGCCTGGGAAATTGGTGTGAGGCTGAGGCTACAATCAACATCCTCCTCGCTGTCAGCGTCGCCTCCATCGTTCTGCAGCATCATGGTGATCTTCTGGCGCTTCACCTTGATCGGACTGTCGACATCGTTGCCTCTCTCTGGCTCTTCCCGCTGCCGCAGCAGCTCCCTGGCCTTCAGCCAGATCTTGGCCTCCTGACGACTGGGCGCACTTTGTGCCGGCTGAATGGCAATCGTCTGGCCACTACTGAAGTACTCCCGGATGCGCTGCTCGCCTCGATGACGCTGCAGCATGGCCGGTCCGCCGATGGCAATGAGCTGCTGACGACGCCAGGCAGCCAAGCCCTTGTCGTTGCCCAGGACGCTTTGGAAGGGATCACAGTCGTTGAGCTTATTGCCGGGAATGTGGAGGACCAGGAATCCCACCTCGGTTACCTTGCTCACATCGGCCGGATTGCTGTAGAAGGGCTGCTGGAACTCGTGTTCGGGTATGTCCAGCTTACGGCAGCCGCGTACCACTTCATCGTAGGTGGGTGGCAGCTCCAAGGGAGCAATGACGAAGGCATCATCAGCCTTTGGCGTGGCAGGTGCAAGAGCAGGAGAAGGCTGGGGACTGTCTATGAGATCACTAAATACCGACGGACTGTTCACGATCAGTGAGTGCTCATAGAAGCTCTTCATTAGCTCCGGTGTGTGGCTCTCGTTGCTCATGGGACTCAGCTGTGGAGTGGTCTGGCCCTCGACTGGTTCGGCAGGAGGAGGAGTCCCTGTGGTTGGCGTCGCCTGGTGCTGTTTGGTCAAAACCTCCGAACGGAAACTCCTTCGCAGACGCCTCAGATTCGGTGTCTTTCGTAGTTTGGTGAACATTTGGTCGCCTTCAGTATCGGATTCGATCGCCTCATCATCGCTAACTGGTAGGGTGGTCGCCTCGCTGGGTTTCGCTTCTTGTTCTGGCATTTCTTCAGGAACAGACTCCGCCTCCTTGCCTTGCTGGAGATTCACATTTTGGGCTTCTTCAGATTCGATTTCTTTTCGAATACTTTTACGTATTATCCGACTGGGCGTAACTAAATCTTTACAGGATTCAGCTTGGACTTTCTTCGACTTTTGGGATCTCCCCTTACTGGCCTCTGGTCCCAAAGGACTCTCCTTTTCAGCCTGATGACGCGCACTACGACGTGGCATTTTCTGCACCTCCTCAGCATCGACAGCTGTTTCGAACAGATCCGTGAGCCTGGGAATTTTCACTCGCGGTGTCAAGGAGCAGATGAGGTGAGTCTTGTCCAGATTGCGGCTGAGTCTCCTGGTACTGCGCCGTGGAGTGGAGCTAACAAGTAAAACGGAATTCTTAATTGACTGCTCAATGGGAAGAAGGCAACTTGTTTCCCTACTCGTTCTGCAACAGGACGAAACTGTTTGACGACTCCTCGACACTTTTGCGGCGCAGCTCCGTCATGGCCAGCTTCTTGCCCAGCGACAGCTCAGCACTAAAAGAGAAAGCATGAGGAACAGTCTGTCCAAAAGTATCTGGCAGTTGGCATACCCTTGTGTGCCTGGTTGTTGGTCGAGCTGCAGACTAAGTCGAGGGTTCATGGCTGTCCCTGTCGCTTCCACATCACTTTCTGCAATATATGTGGGGCAATTAGAGGCACATACCATCTACCTAGCTGTACTCACTCTTCGTGGAGCTTCTGCTGCCGATGGTGAGAGGCAGCGGGGCATATTTCTTGGCGGCACTGGATTTGGGTGTGCGCGGAGACCTCAACAGGCTGTCTCTTTTAGGTGTCGTGGGTGTCTTGGGAGGACTCCCGTTCGCATTCGCCTTGCCCCTCAACTTTTTCGGTGTGCGCTGGTGATCATCCGAGCCATCGATCTGCGGCAGCTTTGGTGTGGGATCTAGCTCCCCCTGTCCTTTCGATGCAGGTTGACTTTGAGTTAGCTTGAGCAACAGCTCATCGATATCGTCCAGGGCGGTGGAGAAGTCATGCCTGCTCCCTGGGTTCGTTTCCTCCTCAGAATCACAGTCTTCATCGGATGCCAAGTGGGGACCGACAGCAGCTGCGGCCGTCTCCTTGTCCAACAGCTCTGGAGTTAGTTCAACTAAAGGAAAAGAATCAAATGAAGCTATTCTGTGACAGTGACCAATTGGCGCACTTACAGTGTTTGTGTTGCTGCGACAGGGGCGCCAACGAACTGTCCAAATCAATGCGCGATTCATTCGCACTCTGCTCCTCCAGCTGTTGCAGGACGTCAAGCAGTTCCAGGTCCTCTTCCCTCACTGAAGCAGAGGTATGGAAATCAATGCTTGATTAGAGATTGATAGTTTCTGGTTTACCTACAGGTGGCATCGTGTGGCACAGCTCCATGGGGCTGGGTCAGGCTCAAGACGAGTTCCTCATCCACCAGCGTTTCATCCATGTTGGCTGACTCGTCCTTTTCTGCAAAGAAAGCGCCAGAAAGGCTGATATTGCTGCTGCTCGCTATATGATTCTGGATAAACGATGCGTTGACCAGCAGCTGCTGCTGATCCTGGGAGCATTCCTCGGGATAAACAGCATTGGCCATCAGTTTTTGCAGGTTGAATGTGCGTCGCTGCTCCTTGCTGCTGGGCGGCAAAGTGGTCTGTATGGTGGCATTGCCGAGATGCGTCTGATCCGACAGTGTTTGGTCGGAGAGCGTCGACTGCTCCAGGGTAAGCAGTTTGCTCTCGAGAGCCGTGCGGTAGAAAACATCACTCTCGGCGACTTCCACATGCTGTCGTGGCTGCGTGGGCGGCAATTGCAGGACTGGAATCTAAAGCAGCACATGCCAGCTAAATCATTTTCATACATTAACGAGGAGCAGTAACCAAGATCCTACCGCATTGACTTTCTGCTCATCGGCGGCTGCAGCGTAGCTTTGGGCCAGCTTTTGGCGCCGGATATTCTCGTCATTCCAGATAGCCTCAATGCCGGGATTTGTATGACTGCCCTTGCCCTTGGCGACTAGTTGAAAGCGATTCAGTATAAAGTTCGAACTGACGTCCACTTCCAAGGAGCTGCAGGCCATCTTCTTAACGCTGCAAATCTCCAGCAGCTGTTCGGGCTTCACATTTGGATAGGGAATCACTGAAAAATGCATAAGACCTTGGCTAAAGGGCCTACGAAAACAGTCTGGCTAGCACTAGCTTGCCTTCATCCTCATGGCTACGACGGAACTTGAGCACCTCCAATGGTACATGCAGATAGCTCATTCCATACAGATTGTAGTCGATCATGAACTGTAGTATGTAGGGCACATGGGACTCGTGTGGATTGAAGTTCTTGCTGAGTATGGCCCCGCTCTGGAGAAGGTTGGCGGCGCGTCGCACGAAGCGTGGATTGAACATGTATATTTTGAGAAACTGATGCTCCACACGATGGTAGCCATAGAACGGTCTGAAAAGTAAGACATGAGTAAGATTTGTTTCATGAATGGATGAACCGATCCGCCTCACTCACATGCCCTTGACCAACTGGATCTTGAACACATGCTGAGCATTGGCGCTGCCCTGCCCCAGTGATATATTGAGTGCCTTGTCCAGGTGCATGGCAATCTGTAGGATGCCCCGTTCCAAGGATTCGAAGTCCTTCTTATCGTACGGTATGTAGAAATAGGGGAACACGCCGTGCACATGCATGCAGGTTTTCTGTCCACTGGAATTAGCCCCGAATATGCGAATGATCGGCACCTGTTTACAAACAATTCAGTAGCAATTAGAAGGAATCATAATATAAGGAATACAATCAAGTTAAGGAAAACCGACTCGTTTGATTTCCTTCCCGCGCAATTCCGAGTAGCAGGGATCCTGTCCAAACTGCGGCTTCTCCATATAAAAGTCCGCTATGACCAAGCGAATGGAGTACACTCCGTCGATTCCAGGTGCTGCTGTCATTGTCGCGAGGATAAAATAAGGAGTCAAGAAATAATAGCCCGGCTTTTGTTTGTTGTGAAATTATACGATAAAAAGTCCGACCCTCAGAAATATACCGTTATATACCAAAAATGTATTAAATATACTAAAATACCAAAAATTAATAATGAGCTTAGCCCACCTAACCCCCCCTTAAACATGTGAAGCCACCAGGGTTTCAGAGTGTTGATCATTTGGTGACCATGTTGCGGAACGGCTTTACAGAGAATCAACTAAAAAAAAAACTGTTAAAATGTTAAAAGAACCGCTGAAATGCGGTAGCTTTTTTGATCCAAGCTTATGTTAACAGCTTCTGCAATGGTGCTATGTTGTTAAAAGATGTGTTAATATTTTAAACAAGTGTTTTTGTCGGTCTATCCCAGTGTCCATACAAAACCTCACTCTTAATCGTATTTTCTAAACATTTTCAAATCTACACACGAGCAAATAGCATTTGCCAAAATACTAACAGCAGCCATTTGTGTTTATTTGTGGTATCTTATCTTCGTGGAATATTACAATGATTGGGACTGATCTATGGGTAAAGATACATATACATATATACATATAAAAACATATTCTTCTGTATATAGGCATTATATGGGGCTAAGAAAATCCTTCTTTCCATCAAGATTTTTGTACGATGGCGGACTATCCTTCCTCATTCTTTCGAACGCCCTTTTAACCGAGAGCAGTGCATAACTTAGATAGGCTGCAATTAACAGGCGGATATATTATTGAACTGAAATCAGTAGGAGGTGCTCCTGCGATGACCGCATACCTGTAAATGGCACCACCATGGCCGGAACAAAGAGCCACTGATCATCAACATAATTGATTATCAACACAACACCCAGGTACACCATGAGGTACAAGAAGAATCCACAGGTTATCATCCATGGTACGAAAAGCTTATACTTTTCCTTCATTACGAAAAACACCCAGAATTATTATCAATGGAAGAGAAGAAAAACTTTTACGTACATTTATGGCACCAATTACTAGGCATATGCTTCCCATTATTTGCAGAGCCGATGCATGTAGACCCAGCTCGTACGATCCATCTGCAAAGTGTATTTGATATGAGATAGCTCGGTTGAATTCGATTCGATTTTAATACATCGCCAGAAATAGTCATCCGCTAGAACCAAGTAGACAATTGCAAAGGCCACCGACAGCACTCCTGTGAGGATAATGCCGTTTTTGCTGTCCAATTGAAACATTTTTTGATTTTAGTTTTCTTTCTTGCGTGGGCAACTCTTATTGTTGAACGACAATTTCACAAATAAATGTGAAATATTTTGACAAGGGGAGCTTTTTCTCCATTATCTTATCAAATGCCTGGAACGGCACTCACTCCCTCTCTTAAATATAACATACATATGTATTACATGTACATATAGATACAAAGAGATAGAGAAACCGCATTTTGTATGGCCAATATTTCTATTTTATTGCATTACATATGTATGTATGAATAAAATTGCAGTTAAGATAGAATTTTCTAAGTAAAACTACAATCGTCTCAGCAAGGGCAAAAAGTAAAAAAGATCTGTGTACAGATAGAGTTCAGTTTGCTCAGCGTTCAGCGCTGCCGATTAGATTAATATTTTCGATTGATATGTACATATGTAGAAAAATATTCTTATGGGCATTATATGTGGCTAATAAAATCCTTCTTTCCATCAATATTTGTGTACGATGGCGGACTATCCTTCCTCATTCTTTCGAACGCCCTTTTAACCGAGAGCAGTGCATAACTTAGATAGGCTGCAATTAACAGGCGGATATATTATTGAACTGAAATCAGTAGGAGGTGCTCCTGCGATGACCGCATACCTGTAAATGGCACCACCATGGCCGGAACAAAGAGCAAAGAGAGATCAACATAATTGATTATCAACACAACACCCAGGTACACCATGAGGTACAAGAAGAATCCACAGGTTATCATCCATGGTACGAAAAGCTTATACTTTTCCTTCATTACGAAAAACACCCAGAATTATTATCAATGGAAGAGAAGAAAAACTTTTACGTACATTTATGGCACCAATTACTAGGCATATGCTTCCCATTATTTGCAGAGCCGATGCATGTAGACCCAGCTCGTACGATCCATCTGCAAAGTGTATTTGATATGAGATAACTCTGTTGAATTCGATTCGATTTTAATACATCGCCAGAAATAGTCATCCGCTAGAACCAAGTAGACAATTGCAAAGGCCACCGACAGCACTCCTGTGAGGATAATGCCGTTTTTGCTGTCCAATTGAAACATTTTTTGATTTTAGTTTTCTTTCTTGCGTGGGCAACTCTTATTGTTGAACGACAATTTCACAAATAAATGTGAAATATTTTGACAAGGGGAGCTTTTTCTCCATTATCTTATCAAATGCCTGGAACGGCACTCACTCTCTCTCTTAAATATAAACTACATATGTATTACATGTACATATAGATACAAAGAGATAGAGAAACCGCATTTTGTATGGCCAATATTTCTATTTTATTGCATTACAATGGTACATTGCATTACATATGTATGTATGAACAAAATTGCAGTTAAGATAGAATTTTCTAAGTAAAACTACAATCGTCTCAGCAAGGGCAAAAAGTTAAAAAGATCTGTGTACAGATAGATTGATATGTACATATGTAGAAAAATATTCTTATGGGCATTATATGTGGCTAATAAAATCCTTCTTTCCATCAATATTTGTGTACGATGGCGGACTATCCTTTCTCATTCTTTCCAATGCCTTTTGAACCGAAAACAGGGCATAACCTAGATAGGCTGCAATTAACAGGGGGATATATAGACGATTGAATTGAAATCCGTAGCAGGTGTTCCTGCGATGACCGCATACCTGTAAATGGCACCACCATGGCCGGAACAAAGATCAACCAGTCATCATGGGCCATCAACACAATCCCCAGGTAAACCATGAGGTACAAGAAGAATACACAGGTTATCATCCATGGCACGAAGAGCATATACTTTTCCTTCATTTAGAAAAACACACAGGGAGATTATCAAGTAAAGCCTGCAGCTGTAGGCATACTTTTACGTACCTTAATGGCACCAATTACTAGGCATATGCTTGCCAGTATTTGTAGAGCCGATACATGTGTACCCAGATCAAACGATCCATCTGCAAAGTGTATTTGATATGAGATAGCTCGGTTGAATTCGATTCGATTTTAATACATACAATACCTGAAATTAGCCTCCGCTATAACCAAATAGATAATTGCAAAGACCACCGACAGCACTCCTGTGAGGATAATGCCGTTTTTGCTGTCCAGTCGAAACATTTTTTGATTTTAGTTTTCTTTCTTGTTCCTACTACCTTCTGGCAGAAAGACTATTTCACAAATAAATGTGAATGTGATATTTCGACAAGGAGAGCTTTTTCTCCATTATCTTATCAGACAGCTACCTACCTCTCTTATATGTATGTATATAACATACATATGTATATATGTATGTACATTTATATAGATATACTCCCTGGATGACAAAGAGAACCCGCATATTGTATGGCCAAATTTTTGATTTTATTGCATTACAAGGTTTTGGAGATTGTGCATTTAATATATAGAGGTGGAAGGAGGCATTCTGGATCCTATATTTCCGACTCATTTGTATGCGCTTCCTCACATTTCCTTGTAGTACTTGTAGTTTTGCTATACGTAGATAATTATACCAACACATAAAAATATAAAATTTAATGGCCGTTGTTTGAGTACCCTCCTACCTTTGTGGAAACACAATGACCGCTTAGAGTCTAAGCTAAGCTAAGGCTTAGACTAAAATAACTGACCACAAGCACAATTTTCTGATAATACTCCTGAAAGGATAGTTCCGATTTTTGCGTCCCGTTTCCACATATTTCCAGGCTCAGCTTATGAAGACTATTTCACAAGTACTGTAACAAGAGTTCGATGTTGTTCGAAAGTTGAACAAGGCGTAACTTATATTTCAATGAAAAACCCGCGGCCTTGATGAATTGGTGTATAAATAATTTTTATTGAAAGTTTTTCTTCTTATTGCTTCAGCGTCATTAAGCCAGCAAGCCGACCCCATTGTCCTCATCTTCCCTTCAGCAGGCGGGCAATGGCGGCAGGCTTATAAAAATGTTTCGGCTCTTTGGTTTGACCTTACAATGGATTTAGGATTAGGTTTAGGTTTAATATAGATTTGATTATTGTTGAATAATGCAATGGAATTGATTAGCTAACAAATCGATTGGTGGCGAATGGTGCAAAAAGTTTGTTAATTGTAAAATTTGTAACATGCATTTTATTCGTTTTGATTTTTTTTTTAACTAGTGTTACTTTTAAGTATAAAATTGTAATGCAATATCGCATCGCATCGCATTGCATGGCATTGCTTTCATATGTATTGATGTATGTATGTATAATTATTCGATCATCAGTTAACTCTTGATACTCAATAAACTTTAGCATATTTAATTTCATTTCATTTCGTTAAGTTAATTTCGAGCAGCCGTAATTCGTAATATCCGATTGATTTGAGTAAAGTTAGGCTTGATTAGGTTGGGCTTGGGGGTTGTTTGGGATTAAGAAGTTAAGAACATTGTTGCCTTCTTTTCAAGTTAGTCAAGAGATATAAAAAATACGTAGATTATAACATTCGATTAGTACAAGTAGGTATGTATAAATATATAAAAAGTACACAATGTGTAAATAAGACTAAGCTAAGTCGATAGAGGAGTACGCACACTCCCCTCCCCCTCGCATGCTCTTGTTCTGCACTGCTCTGCTCTTACGAGCTCTTTTTATAATTTTTTTCATTTTTCAATTTTTTTTGGCAAAATCACAGGAGAATTAGAAATAATTAACATAAACTATGACACATGGCCGGGCTCAGGCGGCGGCTCAGCTGTGTCTGTGTGTGTGCGTGTGTGGAAAGCCGGAAAAACGACGAGTTGGCGAGGCGCACGAACCTCTCTATCTCTCTTTACCGATTGGAAAGATCCTTTAGATGGGTTGAACCTTGCTTGCTTGCTTGCTTTATTTGCCTTCACTTTGAATGGAGTTTGTTTGTGTAATTGGTTTAAGTTTTAGTTTTGATTTGTTGAGGATTTTTAAGTTCATTAAGTGTATATTTGTATAATAAATTATGACTATATATATGCATGTATATGTATGTATGTATATAGATGTATACATTAAAGAAGTAAGTAGGAGGCGCATTATTTCACTTTCACTTTTCAACTTAAGAGTAACTGCTTGCTCGACTGACTGATTGATTGATTGATTCGATTTACCGACTGACTTACTGAACTGGCTCATTAACAGCTTTATAACAATGCGAATCCCTGATCGCTGATCAACAACAAAAATGACATTATCATGGGAGTAATTGTGAAAAAAAGAATGCATATATGCATGTAAAAAAGAATAAATAAAACTGCATATAAAAATAATGATTCTCAGTAAGCCTATTAAACGTCAACAACCATCTTCTTGTGTATGTCCGTGTTTCCAACCACCGAGCAGAACTCGTCGAACGAGATCTTGCCATCGTCATCCTTGTCCGCGAAACCGATTGTCTTGTCCACGATCTGTTGCAGTTGCGTGTCCTTCAGATTGTTGCCCACCATCATTTTTAAAACCTGCAAAATTACAATATTAAGATTAAATTACACATTTGTCTTGCTCTCGTTTGGTTTTTTTAATGTAGATATCGGTAATTGCTTGCCTGAAAAAGTTCACCATTCGAAATGTATCCATCGTTGTCCATGTCGTAGATGCGGAAGGCGAAGCGCAGCTTCGACAGTTTATCACCCTTAACGCTGAACTGTGAGACGCCCTGGATGAACTCCTTAAAGTCCACCTCCCCGTTGCCATCAGCATCGAATATGTCAATCACGCGCTGCACCAGCGGATTCTGTTGCAGCTCCGGCAGCGACATGAACTCATCCACACTCAATGCTCCCGAATTGTCCAGATCCAGTTTGCGGAAACGTTTGCCCAAACGTCGAATCTCATCGGCATCGACTGGCAAAAAGAAGGACATTAAAAGTTATGGTCAGAGGTGATAATCTCCAAGGTGCATCCACTGCATGGGCACGAAGAATGCACATAATTCAACATCTGAACAGTGTTATTTTTAGATGCAGATTGTCTGTCTGCCCATCATCAGAGATGAAACAAAGTGTGACAAAAACAAGAACAACAAGTAGGGACGCTTATAGACGATCCATTATGATTTCTTTATACAGAAATGATTACAAAATTAACCAACAATCTAAAAAAAGAGATTCTTTGTGGACATGTAAAAACAAAATCATGAAGAGATGGATCTATGAGACAGCCTCTCTCAGGACACATCGAAGGCTACGCAGACTTTTGCTGGATTCCTATTGTAAATTCAGCTACGTTGTTCCACGTTTCGTTTGCATTCCACATAAGTAGTCCATATATATACAGTCATACCATCATATGTATGTATGTACGTATGTGCTGTTATTTGCATATTCGTAAACAGCTGCCATTCCGTTCAAATGACATTGACTGAAAAATCGTACTTACAATTGGAACACATTTCCATGGGCAGTGATGTTTCGTTTCCCTGCGAATAAAATTGTGGAGATTATTACAGAAATCCATTTGGTTTGGGAAAGAGCGCACTAAAATTCACAAATTTATTGCAGCCGAAAGTGGGATGGTGGGGAGACACTTGCTCTTGAACATGTATTTCGGTTGGTTGGCCGTTTTTATTACCATTTTGGTTTTGCCTTTTGTGGATTGGTGCTATGCTATCTATAGTACAACTAATTTTGAGATTTTGCACTGCTCTGCTTTCACTTGGTCCGCTATTATTTCGCTGTTTTCTATTATAATTCAATGCCTTGAAGTTGCCTGCACATTCTCGTGTGGTTTATTTGGCGCAGTATTATGGTTCTGTTGTTGAATATTCAATTTTTTCTATTATTTGCAACGCAACACGACTCGTGTGATGGCGGATTTATCGAAAAAAAAATACCGTTCGACCCTCAGAAACATACCGAAATATACCTTCTTATTTTCAGAACATACCGTGAATATGCTGATATATCTCGATTTTGATTTTCGGTTTAATATTACTGTCTAGCTCGGACTCTCAGGCCTGAACACATAATTTTATCCGATTGAAAATTCAATTCCCTACAAGATTGGATAATTTTATTGACATATTTTATTCAATTGCTTATAAAATATGTTAAAAGCCCGAAACATTTGCAACGCGGGCCTTTCGCCTATCGATGTATCGCAAAGCTATCCTAACTTGAAATCAACTTTGGGTGTTTCAGAGCCGCCAGTTTGAAAATTGAAAATTTCTTATAGCTCTAATATCATGATTTATATGACATATATCAGATGTTTACTCCATCTCACCCGTCTTGTATTTTTACATATAAATATTTGATTTCCGCGAACTTGTTTGAAATTATGCTAAGCCCAAGTCATCAGATTTTGAATGGCTTTTGCGGTCAAACAGTTGCTAGGCTTCTCTTGGAAGCACTAGTGGGAGAAATGTAGATAACATTTACTGTGTATTTATCCAGCATAATCGTTAGACTAACCATCTTCCCACCCACTTTGCTGGTTTCCATTTCATTCCAGAGGCGGCAGCCCTAGCGAACAGTCCCGTCACGAGAAGAAGTCATGGCACAAGGCACCGGCATCATCTGCACAGAGGTTAACGGCCGCGGGGCGGTGGTCGAGGGGGAGCGACAGCGGCGGAGAGTGGCCATTGTCGGGGCGGGTCTGGTAAGTGTGATATGTACCCAAGATATGATATCTAGATGCTGTAGATGGGGCCACTTATCAGTGTCAGACCTCATCATAATCCCAGTTTTGGAGAGCAAACTCTCTTATCAGGCTATCATTTTCGGCAGGTGGGTTCTTTGGCGGCCCTAAACTTTGCCCGGATGGGCAGCCACGTGGACTTGTACGAGTATCGCGAGGACATTCGGAGCGCTGCTCTCGTGCAAGGACGCAGCATTAATCTGGCCCTCTCCCAACGGGGACGCAAGGCCCTGGCTGCTGTGGGCCTAGAGGAGCAGGTCGTGGCCACCGCCATACCCATGCGGGGACGAATGCTTCACGATGTGACCGGGCGGACCAGTGTGGTGTTGTACGACCCGTGCACCCAGCAGTGCCTCTACTCCGTGGGTCGTAAGCAGCTCAACGAGGTGCTACTCAACGCCTGCGACAAGCTACCGAACATTCGGTGCCACTTCGAGCACAAGTTAACCAAAGCCAACATCAACGAGGGCGTCATGGAGTTCAAGCAGCCGCATCGCGAGGAGGTTGTCTCGGCCACAGCGGATCTCATTGTTGGTTGCGACGGAGCCTTTAGCAGCGTGCGGCAGCAGCTGGTCAAGCTGCCGGGCTTCAACTACTCGCAGGAGTACATCGAAACTGGCTACCTAGAGCTGTGCATCCCCGCTAAGGCGGGAGAGTTCCAGATGCCGCCCAACTATCTGCACATCTGGCCGCGCAACTCTTTCATGATGATTGCCCTGCCAAACCAGGACAAGTCGTTCACAGTGACACTGTCGATGCCGTTCAAGATCTTCGCCAGCATCCAGAGCCGGGAGCAGCTGTTGGCCTTCTTCAGGCAGCACTACAGGGACGCTCTACCTCTGATTGGCGAGGAGCAGCTAATCAAGGACTTCTTCAAGATGCGGCCCCAGCACCTGGTGTCCATCAAGTGCAAGCCGTATCATTATGAAGACAAAGCCCTGATCCTCGGCGACGCGGCCCATGCAATGGTGCCGTACTACGGCCAGGGAATGAACGCCGGCATGGAAGATGTCACCTTGCTGACCTCCATTTTGGGGCAGCAGCTGCCGCTGGACGAGGCCCTGGCCCAGTTCACCGAGAAACGCTGGAATGATGCCTTTGCCATTTGCGATCTGGCGATGTACAACTATGTGGAGGTGGGTTAAATGCTTTTCTTGACGTTTAGTGGGTATACATATGTACAAGCTCTTCCATTTGTTCCGCTCGCAGATGCGAGATCTCACCAAGCGCTGGTCATTCCGCTGCCGAAAGTGGCTGGACACACTGCTGTTCCGACTGTTCCCTGGCTGGATTCCACTCTACAACAGTGTCTCCTTCTCGAGCATGCCGTATAGTCAGTGCATTGCCAATCGCAAGTGGCAGGATCAGTTGCTAAAGCGCATTTTTGGCGGCACCTTCCTTGCCGCTATCCTGGCTGGCTCTGCGTTCCTTGTACAGCGTTTTCTTTGACCTTGGACAATAATGCAATAAAACAATTGATTTTGTTCATATTTTATATTTATATTTACCCTCATAAGTATGCTCCGAGAACATTCGAAAAGAAGCTGCTTCAAATACATACATACATACAATCTGCGTTTGCATCGATTAGATTTCCCAACCGGTTTCAAAGGAAAATATTCTCTCGGTTCTTTACCATCACCGTCAGTTACAGTTCCAAGTCTAATAATTCGATGTTAAACCTTATTAAAATTAAATATTGAAACTATATAAATGATTAGAAGTAGTTTTGGTTTAATTGTCTATACGAACAAGAAGCTATATATCCATATTGTGCCGACTTACAAACGTCAGGATATGGACAGATTGTCTTGCTATTCATTCATTCCCTTCTTTATCACTCCATTTGTATGAGTAATATCTCGGGATAATCCATACTTTCCTAAAAGGAATTTAATCTGAAACGTTATCAGAATTCAAAGGAAACCGTTTATCAGAATTCGAAGGAAACCGTTTTCAGATCCCTAAAACCTTAAAGTATGCGTTAGAGTATGATAAAATGCTTTATTTAATCGACTACTTAGTACTAAACTTAACACACATATTTATATTTATTTATTTACACAAATCTTAAGACGGGTGGTAAATATTTGTGTGTGCGTTGGGAAAATAATTGAAATTTCTATTTGGCCGCGTGGCCACGGCTACTACGCATCGCATTTGGGACTATCTACTTATAGATATTTTTGTGGTTTTGTTTTGTTGGTTGGTTGCTTGTTGTTGAAGCGGCGACAGGCCAAAAATACGACCCGACAATGTGATTCGGTATTTCTGCTGCTATTCCCGTTCTAACGGCTATTTGTGGCCCATCGGTGCAGCCTTCGTCACGTGATCGGTGCATCTGCAAAGAGTGTGTCCGCTTAAAGGATGGACGGGCATGCATGGGACGCCCTCTTCGCTGGTGCTCATAAATCATCATACTCATACATGGTCATAATTAATCCGCCGCTGTAAGCTTTTGAGAGTGACACAGTGGCAGTGAGAGAGAGCGAGCAATCTCCCAATAAATTAGCATGTCGTTTGTTTCCTCCGCATCGCCGTCTCCCTCTATCACGCTGCCCGAGAGGAACAAGGTCGGTGCTTTCTCAATCGCACGCCAAGCAACGCCGGCCGGTATTTCATTACAGCAATCTTCATCTTGCTCTCTCTATCTTTGTACCTCTTGGACCTGTTGGAGCGCCAAAGGGCAACCGACAAATGATAGATTCGATAGAAAGGGGGCTTGAAAAGTGAAAACCCAATCGAACAATGGCCGGCAATAAGCCAGCAAATCCCATCTCTCTTGACCTACTACCCAAAGCCGCCAATACATTCAGTTGCTCATGAAGCTTTCGCGAGAGGAAGAGAGCAGCACCGCACCGTTTGCTTCGCTTCTCATTTCCGACTCAATTTTTGGTTGCTAATTTCCGATTCGCTCTCTCTCTCTAGAACGCCACCAACGCCAACTGGTCTCTACCCAGCCAGCGTGCCAGCGCCGTTTGTTGCCTTGCCCGTCACATGTTCGTTGCTCTTCAAGTAGACTAGACCGATTGTGCCCAGCGATCCCCCGACCAGCGGACAAAATCTTCCACAGCATTGTGCAACCGTTAATTGAAAAGGCATTTGCAACTGTAACTCGTTTGTGGCCATAGAACAGGTGTATGTGATTGTGTGCCAGTGCAGGCATTATCGAGTATCGCGCCCTTGCCCTTTCCACGCGCCGCCCGCTATCCGATCTAATCCGGCCGACCGTAACGTTCTCGAAGCTTTCGACAAGCGATCGGGGTAACCAAAAAAAACGCGTGGTCTCCGCCAAACCATATGAAATAATCAGCAGCAAAAAATATAGCGAGGCGTAAAAAAGGTAACACAAAAAAAAGTGAAATTGAAATTCAAAGTCAAAATCAAAAGTTTCTGGAGTTTTCTCTCTGTACTCTGTGTGCTTGGGTGTGTGTGTGTGCGAGACTGCAACGGTAATCAGAGAGAGGAAGCAAAGAATCGGCACAAAGTGATTGGGGGATTTACTTTTCAGTAGCTTTGTAGCAAACGTTTACGTTTCGGCTTGGTTTACTTACGTTCACGTAATTTTCCACAAAAAAAAATAAAATAAAAAAAAAGTATGCATAGTAGATACAAAATTGGTGGCACCAATTAATCATTATCGCCATCGCTATGTCATTTTGTTTTTGTTTGGGATCACTACCATCCATCCACTGCCACTCGATAGTATTCGATATCTGATTCAAATGATCCCCCCCACCCCCAATCATTTCATGTCGATCAGTTTGGCTGTTTTACTTTTAATAGAAGTTGTTTCGCCTGTGTGTGATCAAATCGTTTCGTCTATATACAAAATAGACACTACAGATATATGCATACACATACATACACATTTTAAAGCTAAATGGACGCCATAGACGGCCATGATTGCACTGATTGGTTTCGTTCGCTTCTTCTGTGCCCATCCACCCCCTACGTGAGTGTAGCCCATCCAGTGCAAATTGCGTGGATTTCTGAGAATGACCACCCAGAACGATCTGTCCGAATTTTACAGGTAAATTAGGTTCGAAATGATAGATCATACGTAGTATTTTCGGTGGGACCTATATATGCATTTACATACACACATACATATGTATTTATATGGATACGTGACTGTTTTGCAATCTGGTGATCTGGCGCATCGTCTCGTGTTTTGGGTGTCGTATGGGTTGCTTGTCTAAATGAAAAGCAAAACCAGAAATGCGGATAAGGTCTACACGCAGATGTACCTCCCTCCCTCTCACTCTTTCCCACTCACACGGTCATTTAGCTTTGGCATTTGGCATTTCCGGTTTTTGTTTACGGTCGGGTTTATGGGGAATATTGCAGATAGCAACACCTTCAAATACTTTATTCCTTGGCACAACAGATTTCGTGCCAGATTTCATCAGCTTCCTTTTCATCGATCCTAGGCGCAGTTGCTCTTTAAAGTGTCACATATTCTATTGTTCCATTATGTCAGTCATCAGTCTATCTTGGGCCAAACTAATAGACTTGCTCATTAGGATCATTAGCGGGGACTGACTCTAACATCTATCATATGCGGTTCAAGATCGGTTACTATTTGACAAATTTGGAACAGTAATTAGCTTTTAAAACGTTCCTTCAAAGGAAGAGTGCATCGTTCAACAGTTTCTGCTAATATTTTTCAGTTAAAAAATATTTCGAAAATTTATCTTCCGTTCCAGAAAAATAGTTTTCAGAGAAACACAGTAAATTCATAACAAAGATTTCTGTTATACCCTTTAAAGGATTTCAAAAGAATTGTAGTATCCAGGGAATCCTGAAAAAAAACTTGCCCCAACAAAATACATGCATACATAAATGGAATGTTTCTGAATTTTAAATTACTTGAGGTTCTCCCTAACTTGTTTTACGTATTTATTCTCAAATGTACTAAATCGTGTGATATAATAAAAAAAGAGACTAATGAACAAATTAACGAAGGCATTTTACGGCATGTTCGCACACACAATACACACACATTCGAATATGTATATATATATATGTACATCAATATGTAGGATAAGATGGAAAAAAAGTGTAAAAAATAATAAAAACATTCCTATACAAAAACTTACATCATCGTATTGTGCAAAGAGAGACGAAGGAGAGAGAAAAGCGCCCGCCAAACGGCAAGCATTTACCCACACATATGTATGTATGTATGTACATATATAATGTATATGTAAATATGTTGCTATAATGTTCTTGTTGTATTTGGGTAAACGCAAAAAAAAGTAACGTAAATTGCGCGTTTGAAAACGGTACTATTTTTTGCAGTTTCTTTGAACGCACCACAGAGGAGAAATAGAAAGAAAAAATAGCAACAACACAAAGTGCAAAACGAAAAGTGATAAAAACTAAGCAAAGATCAAGGTGGATCAATTTAAGGTGAGGTCTTTCTGCACGCATCGAAACAGCTCTCTCTTCGTAAATTTGCATACATCGATTAAGGGCTTTCAGAGCGAGAGAGAGCGAACGACGGATAGATAGTGATCGAAAGGGAGGAAGAGCGCGGCGTTTAAAGACGTGTTCATATTTTTGACAAAATGAAAGCAAATTTTCTTACAAAAATAACAAATAACTAATTCTGTTTCCTCTCGTTTCTTTTCATTTTACATGTGTGTGGCATCTCATCTCTGTTGTCTCCGTTGCGGTAAATAAATGCCATAGAAAGGGGTAGCAGCAGCAACAACAACAATAAGAACAGCTTTACCAAAAGGAAGACGCAGTTGAACAAAAGGTGTACAGTGTTTGTGTCCGCGAGTGGAGTGTGTTTGTGTGCCAGTGTGCAAAGAAAGCAAAACAACAGCAATAACACATTAATGAATTTCGTGATTAAAAACATTTCAAAAGGTACAAAAAAAGCTCATTTAGTATAAAAATAAGAAGGAGGCAAAAGCAAGGAAAGAACCGAACAGAAAACAAAAATTAAATCAAATCGCTGCGGGCGCCAACAACAAACGTGGCAAAAAACTAAACACAAACAGAAAAGCTCTACAAGCAAAACGAAAACGAGAGCGAGAGCGAACGCTAATGAGTGGGAGAGATAGTGTGGGAGAGCAAAAGAGCGCGAGAAAGAGCACCAGCAGAAGCGACTGAGCAACGGTTAAACAAAAACAAAAACGAAGCCAGAACCCAAAACCAAAGCCAATTGCGCACGGAACCCGACGAACCATACAACCAGTTGGCAATACGGAAGAAGTTAACTAACAATAAATATACAATCAATACGATATATAACCAACATCGGCAGTAGTGCAACGGTTATTTGGTAGAACTACCAGAAAATGGTCAACAAATCCAATGGGAAGGTAGTGGGGCAGCAGAAGGCGGACAAGGATAAGGAAAGGCAGCCAGAGACCATGGTGCTGCCGGCGGCTGGCACCAACAGCAACAATCAGACGACACAAATCAACAGCAACAAAAGCAAAAATCCAAATGTCAAGAGCAACAACAATAACAGCAAAAAGAATCCTGGCAACAACAAGGGACAACAGCAGCCGCAGCAGCAGCAACAGCAACAGCAGAGAAGCAACAAAAAGGGCAAACCCCAGAGGCAACAGATCTTCCTGCAGTCGCTGCCACGCGACACCAGCAACTACAGAAGCTACAACCACAGCAACAGCAACAGCAACAATAGCAACAGCAAAAGTAGCAACATTCTGGTCACATCTGCAACAACCGCAAATGGGGTGACCAAAGTGAATCCCGCCGATCTTCTTACCGCCGCTCTGGCCGTGCCCTGTGCCAAGTGCTCGAAACCATCGATGATCACCCCCCTAACGACCGCCTCCACCTCCACCACCACCTCTGCCGCCTCCACCGCCACCATTGCCTCCTCGTCGGCCTCGACCACATCCAATTCGGAGACCGCGAGCAATCACAGCGAACTGAGCTTTCCCGAGCCGATGGTCTACTCGGCCAAGCAGTACCGCAAATCTAAATCCTATATGGGCGTCTCACAGTACAACAGCTCAGGCTACGGTTCCTATCAGAATTCCTCGGGACGGGGATCGAATGGATCCGGAAATCATACAACCTACAGACGATCACATAGCGATCGACGAAACTCATTTGATCGCACATTTGCTGAAAGGAATCGCGACTTTGTCCCCATTGTACCACCGCCTCGACCCGTCCTCTCATCCTCAAACATTGCCGGAGTCATGGCCAGTTCCACCAAGCTGACGCTCATCGAACGTTTCGGCAAAGGACGACTCGCGTATCCCATAATGCAGGTGAGTTTCCAGGTCTTTGCCTTACTATAGTTCTTCGCCTGAGATCTGGTTCAGGGTCAATAGAGTTTTGTCTTTAAAGTTGAGAACTTTCCATTAGTTCTTTTGTCATATTCGAGAAGTTCTTTCTAATCAGCCGTGCGCCGCCAGCTACCGCGAGAAGCAGTTATAATTAATGGCACAAACAAGAACGGCTGATAAGGAAAAAGGAAAAGAGAGTGGGTGAGGCACAGGGGCGCAGAGGGAGGTAGTTTTTTTAGTCATCTATTTATTTTCGATAAGCTGATTTCATTTTCAGAGTCGTAGAAAGCAGAATGAAGTTGAAGTTCTTCCAGAAACTCGAAACAATCTCAAAGATTTGCTCCTCCTTGAATGATTGCTATTTCCAATTTCTTATCTCTTATTCCCAGTTGTTGTTGCAAATTATTTGTTATTTACGGCTATGCACTGGCATGTGTGAATATTACGTATACGCCCTGTCCTGACAGGGGGAATTTGTCATCTTTGATGTGAATTTTTGGCGTGCAATCGAGAGACGAGATAAATGCGATGCTAATATACGGAAATAGGGTCTCGTTTTCAGTCTCTGCGTCACTTTTAATATGCAGATATAATGTGTATAACTCCCCTCTGTGCCCTCTACGCAATCACAAAAGGAAACAAACGACACCAAAAACTCGGCCCAGAAGTTTTAATCAAAAGTATTTATGCAAATTCGCAGCTTCGTCTTTGATTCGATTGTGGAAAAATATATAAAATAGCAACCGAAAGTGGTTTGATTAGCATGTGCCACTTAGTTAGTTGCCAAAACTAGTTCTAAAAGATGTAGACACGAAAAAAAATGGTTTTGTCTTAAGCAAAAAAAAAAACAAGTCACATCGATATATCGATATAAAAAGTGAAACTTGTTTTGGGGGCTTCAAACTCCACTGACTTCTGTGGCTGGAATCCCTGCCTAAAAACGGCAAATAAAACCCTCCATCTCAGCCGGGCACAACATCTTGCATTACCGAAACTACTTGTTGGCCAATAATTACCTTCGTTTTGGGCAATGATTGAACAACTGTTTCCACTAAATTTGTTTAGCCTTAGCATTGCTTTTGTTGGCCTTCAAAAAAGAACAACAAATACTAAAACGAAAACATTGAAATGTTTTGAAAAACAATCCCAACACACATTTTTAAATGAATCATAAGACTGCCACATCGTTCGCTCGCACTCTCTCACTCTCTCTCTCTCTCTCTCTCCTGCTGTTTTGTTGCATGAAAGATTCTCACCACATGAAATTGTACTGTTTCTGCTGCTGCTGTTGCTGGCACAGTGGCCTGAGGTCTCGCATGACATCCGTGAAATCTGTTCGCTTGGAAACAAATCTCGCTCCACACGTGGCCAACACTCTGGCGAACGGAAACGAGCCAATTTTGATAAGATAGTGGAGCGGGTGGTCATCAACAAAGCCATGTTTCGGCAAATACTATATGCATATTCCCATATCTCTTGAGGGGTACAGTACCTCATGGAACAGTAGAACACTTGAAGATTCGGGATTTTTTAGCTAAATTCGGAATTAGAGCTCGACAAACACGACGATTAATAAAGTATTTCGAGAAACTATTAGAAAGCTTAGAAACTATCCTTTCGTTTTTCTAAAGTATTCTCAAAAATATCAGAAAATAGATAATTTATTTTATCGGTTAATTTATCTATCGAAAAAAAAAATTAAAAAAAAAAACAGTAGATATATGAACTAATATCCGCTGTACATTTCTTATTAAATAATAGAATAAATTCTGGAATGTTTTTAATCAATTTGTTTAGATGACGATAGCTGTATTTCAAATATATGTATTAAAATTATAGTGCCCTGGGGTACAGGGGATTTTCTAGAAACGATTAACATTTAGAAAAGATTTCTACTTATCAGTGGCTGCGATTCATACGAGTATAAATATAATTATAAATGAGCAAACAAATACTTGTATACTCATCGTATAAAATATATGGTAATGCTCGTATGTTCAATACTCTTTCGCTTACGTCAAAAAGAACAATGCAAACTGAATGCATATCAATATGGACAGGTGAAACGGTTGACAATAGAACCGTTTGCATTGCGAACACAGGGCAGGCAGGAAAACACCTGATCTAACTCCACTCCTTCCCTTACTTAGAAAGTAGACTTTTGCACGAGTTTATTTTCTTGTGGGATTATATGAATGGGTAAATACATACACACATACATACATATCTTAGAATCCCCCTCTCCTCTACCTTCTCCTAATTATTATATGTTTTATTGTTTTATTATATGTACATATCATATGTATGTATGCCAAATTGCATATTGTTCTTTTGAAATTGCCACAGCTGCTCTGTGTTTGTGGGCCAAACTTTTGTCCAATTTCAAACTGCGGTTAACTGCGTAGTAGGAAAATGTATATTCGAATTTCAACGAGTATTTTCGCTGACAGAAGAAGTGAAAGAAACTGCAACTGTGTGCGGAATTCTTTGATTATGGAAATCAGTGGCAGAACTAGAGAAAAATTAAAAATGAAATAAAAATAAATCAATTGTCAAGTGTACCAGAGGAGTAGGAGAAGTGCCAAGATAATGCGATTCGGATAAGAAGAGGAGTTTAAGGGGGCTTCTGTCACGTGTGCTTATCGGTAACGGAGCCGACAGAAAGTGTGCAAAATATAATAAATTTGCAGGCCACAAAAAAAGCCCCCGCAGGAACATGACTAGAAAGTTTTAATGACTATTCAAATTTCAGATTTATCAGTCCATAAAAAGAGCAAAAACATGCCACAAGTGCTTAGACAAATAGTCTTGCGCCTAGAGAATGGCAACCGTAAATGCGGCCGAAAGGTTTCTGAGCCAAGCCTAAAACTAGGCAACGAAAGCCACATCTTAAAACTTTTAATCATGTAGAAAATACAGTTTAAAAAGTGGCTCAGCTCTGTCTTATATTAAGAAACGCTGTAAATCTTACTCAAAAAAAAACCGAAATTATTAAAAGAAAAGTAAAGATTTTATTCTATAAAATAATCTCTTGCTTACTCTCTGGCAGAGAGACGCTTGGGACTTTAATTTTACGAAGCGAATGCGAGCGCTTCGTTAGATTCAAATTTTATTTTTAATCAAATAAACCCAAAAACACATATTTAATCATTCTTTGTGCTTCCAGTCTTAGCTTATAAATAAATTTAAGCTGAAACAGCTGATCACATCACCCTACTTATTGAATAAAATTTACGCTAATCGATGTGTCTATATACGAAAATTACAGACAAAATTGCATTAAGCTGGTGATTGAATTCGGAAAAGCTATTTGCTTTCCCTTTCCTTTAAGTATATATTCACGAGTGCATGTCCTTCATACTCCTGTGGATTACCTTTGTGTGTTACATGCACTAATTAGTTCAGACAAAGGGGCCTTCAATTTGAGGAAAGGAAGACACCAAATACTTGACTGTCGTCTACCACACTCTCTGGCAATCATATATTGTCAAGGCAACAGCAACAGGGGCAGCAGGGGAGCAACAGGAACAAAGTCTCTATGTTTGGAACTGACATGAGGCGCCTTTTAATTGAAATAAAACCCTCACACGTTTGGGAAACAATAGCTATAGTGAACACTCTCGTTGGCGACAAAGTGTGCGAATTATCTTTGAAACAAGCCTGTGTCCGTCCAGCGATCTTTCACTATACTTCTGTATACATAAATCACACGAATAATAATAAATTAAATAAAATTAAAGCAAAAACAAAACCATCAAAATTCTGAGCTCTCGCACAGCCCCCCCGATAAGAGGTGAAGAAAGCAAAGGAACTTTGTAAATGTTTGCGGTCTCCCACATGTACAAAATATATATATTTAGTTGTTGCTTTTTGCCTCTGTGGCGATTGCGATAACAATATGGTAAAGAGAGTGGTGGTACACATAGAGATAGAAAGAGAGGTGAGGAGTACTGGCGAGAACTGTAGAAAATACAAGTTCAATTTTGTTGTTGTTGATAAGAAGCCAGCAACAGCAAACAGCCGACCACAGACGCAGACGTAGACGTAGACGCAGGGGCATTCCAATCAAATAAATTGTATTTATTTTTAAGGCACTTTGTAGATTTGAGATTGAAGTGATTTCTGATAACAAACAAACAAAGAGGCAGAGAGAGGGAGCTAAGAGTACTTAAACGATTTAGTAGAAAATATTGAGAGACGTAGTCCAAAGTAGAAGCAATGGAAAGCCAGCTGATCTGTCAGTACTACAACTCGTATTGCTCGAATCGAAAACAAAAACGTTTAAATTGTAAACCAAAGCAGAATCCAGAGTTGTAAAACAATTGCAGTGTAATCGCATTGCAGTTGATTGAACTCACTGCGCTCGCTGGAAGAGATACAGCTTAGGGAAGTGGTTCTCCAAGTGCTTTGGTAATGGCTTACCATTATCTAGGGAATTCACACTTCATTTCATAACAGTCAGCCCAGAAGGTACTTCATAGAATATATTATCTACTATATATAGCCCCAGGCCAATATTGTTAAATTTATTCTAGAAAAAGTGAAATATGTGGCTGTCTGACATTTATGATCCAACTATTTATATCTTTGCTGCGCACTTTAATTTCATATGTCATCATAGTTAATCAAAGGAAGCATTTTGCTACTTTTTTTATCTGTTGCACTCTCTACTTTTGTAGGTTGTTCTATTCGCTAAATTTCAAGGCTGCTGTAGATTCTCTTGAAGCTTGAGTTTCAATCAATTTTTATATCTCCACACTACTGCTGTGGGTTCCCTTAGGCTTTTCGGTATGGGTACACCATTACCAATTGATTTTTGACTTATACTTGTTAGACGTTGCCACTTGCATTCCTTTGTGGCAAATGCAACAAAATGCTTTGCAATGCACATTCGCGTGCACCTTTCAAATTTTGGTTGTTTTTGTTTTGCAGTTTCGCCTAATCTCTGCGTTTGACTTGCAATCGGTATTTTTGTTGTTGAT